TTCTATTTTGTGTTAAAGAAAAGAATTTCAGTTCAATCAGTTATCTTAGAGGAGAGTGGCTTATGGATTTTCTACACTACCTCAAAGGGAAATCCATTTTTACTTAGGTTTTTTATTTAATTTGAGAGTAACACCTGTGTGTGGCATATCCCAAAGTGCAAACATGTTTTATTGTAAGACAACTCATTTGATATACCTTGTTCTTTGTATACAATTTGACATTAATTACTTAGTATATTTATACATTCCATCCCAGGACTTTTGCTACAATTGGAGTACAATCAGCAACTTCTAAGTAAATTTATTTGTGTAATTGAAGTCATCTACTTAGAAAGTATATATTTAAATAAGGATTAGATTGTTATCTGTCTCTACTCGTCCAAAGGAGGGAATTGGAATTCGAAGTCTGGATAATTTGGAATTAAAGTAGGAAAAATAATTGAAGTAAAAATTGTTTAGCAGTAAGATCAAATGATTATATGAGCAATTTAAAAGGATTTCAGAAATTGAAACGGTTTCGCTGAGTTTTCTCATTAGTTACTATGTTTTGTTTTGTTGTGTTTTTTTAGGCAATTGGGGTTAAGTGACTTGCCTAGGGTCACACAGCTAGTAAGTGTCAAGTGTTTGGTCTGAGGCCGATCTGAACCCAGGTCCTCCTGACTTCAGGGCCAGTGCTCTATCCACTGTACCACCTAGCTACCCCTCATTAGTTACTATGTTAAAGCCTGTTCTGACCCTATACACCTATGTGAGTACATCCTACTGTAAAGATTATGTTAGAGATCTTATAGGGTTAACTTACAGATAAAAGATATGAGACATATCTGTCGCTCATTAGTCAAAGAGGGGAACTGAAATGATCAAGACTGATTCTATCATTTTTTTATTGATCCTATTTATAGTTAACTGATTTTGTCCTGTAACTGCTTTAGTCATAGGTCTCTGTCTCTGAACTCAGTTCAGACTTCAGCTGGCCTGTAATGGGTTAAGTTTAGAAATCCAATTCTCTGCCTAATTACACTGTTCTATCCTTGCCTCAAGAAATTTAGCTAACCTTAGGGGATACGATTTGCCAAAAGGGAGTCAGGCCTAATATTTTTATACCATCAAGTTATCCTTCAAGGATACCTCGTTTGCTGTCCAAAAAGTCTGTACCACTATCTTGCACGTGGACTCAAACAATAAACACTTCTTAGTTAGGGGTGAGGTGGAAGGGAGGAGAAGGTTGTTGCTTGCCCCTCATTATCAAACTTCCAAGCAATCAAATTGTTCTCTGTGTCTCAGCTATGTAACCAACCATGTTGCCCGTAACCCCATGATGTCAACTACCCTATTCTGTTCTTTGTTCTGTACTCCCCTAAGGCTATAAAAAGGAAGCTGTCCTTTGCTCAGGGTCTGTGGCATATATTGAGGCAAGCCATTGACCCACCTTTTTCTTAGGTTACCAGTCTTGAAAATAAAATGTTATCTTTCTCAGAGAAACATGCCTTGGTTTAGCTTTTTGTTAAATTTCACTGACAACTGCAATAGAGGATTGGTGATGAATCACGTATTCTACTTTCTGACAGAGACAGGATGGCCTCAAGTTGCAGAAAAAGATACATTTTTGGACATGTTCAATTCACGGATTTGTTTTGTTTGATTATGCTTATCACAAAGGAAATTTTTTAAAGTCGGGGTGCCCTCCATTTGAAGGGCCCTGCAGTTCAACAGTGATGCCAATAAGAACAAAAAAAAAGAAAAGAGGATCACTGATGTATTTACCAAAAAAATTCACAGAAAACAGAAAATAACTCAAAAAGAGATACTGACAAGTAGGAAGGCTTTGAAAATAATGTATTGAATTTCTTAAGGGCTTTTAAAAACCAAGCAGTATGTAACAGAGATTTATAGTTTCATATGCAATCTTCTTTCTGTTCTTTGTATATGGCAATGTGCATGTTTATCAAATTCAGAATAACAAAAAAAGTTTTAAAGGGACTTAATGAGGTGTTCAGGTGTGAATAATTAATACCTACAAGTAGTAAAAAAGGCTAAAAATCTAAATCAGTATTCTGAGTAGGACTAATATTGTAGTCATTTGCATTGAATGGGATATTTGTATTTCTGCCTCAGGAAAATGACTGTTACCTGTTGAAAATATAGGCTGCTTTTGGAAAAGAAGGTGATGGAAGGTGATGGAAGAATGGAGTTGCACAGTTTGGATTGTTAGAGATATGATGTATTCCTAAAGGAAAACTGAAGAAAGGCTTCACAAGGAGAAAAAAAGGGGGTGGGATGGAATTTCACAACTATTGGAAAACTGCCAGAAAACAGTCTAATGCACTGTTGGTGGAACTGTGAATTTCCTGCTGTTCTAAAAAGCGATTTGGAACTATGCCCCATAATCCTCATTCTCCTAGACTTTTCTACAGCCTTTGACATGGTTGATCACTCCATCCTTGACACTCTCTCCTCTCTAGATTTCCAGGACACCATTCTCTCCTTTTTTCCTCCTATATGACCTCTCCTTTTCTGCCTCCTTTGCTGGATTTCCCTAATGTCCCTCAGGGTTCTGTCCTGGGTCCTCTTCTGTCCTCCTTCTATACTACTTCACTTGGTGATCTCCTCAGCTCCCACGGATTTAATTACCGCCTCTATGCTGATGATTCTCACATCTACCTTTCCTGCCTCAATCTCTTGGCTAACCTCTGATCCCTTATCTCCAATTGCCTTTCTGACATCTCAAACTGCATGTTCAAGTACGCTCTTAAACTCACTTCCTTCCCCTAAAACCGTCTCTTCTCCCCTTCCTGCCTTTCCTATTATTATACAGGGCAAAATCATCCTCTTAGTCCCTCAGGCTTGTCACTAGGAGCCATCCTGGATTTCTCTCCAGTGTCTCTTTATTTCCTCCACAAGCAAATATAAAATGCTTGTTTGGCATTCAAAGCCCTTTATAACCTAGACTACCTACTTTTCCAGTCATTTTACACCCTATTCCCCAACATGTTTTCTTAAATCCAGTGACATGGCCTCCAAGCTGCTCCAGGAACAAGCCACTCCATCTCTTGGTTCTGGGCATTTTCTCTGGCTCCCCCGGCCACTTTACAGAAGGAAGGCATTGGAATTAAGAGGGGGTTGGGGAAGGCTTCCTATAGAAGGTGGGATCGTAGTTGAGATTTAAAGATAGCCAAATTCTCCCTCCATTTTATTGTCAAGGTATTTGGAGACACCCAGTTTCCTGGGCCCAGCAAGCAGGCTGTGCCCTAAACTTGGCATAACAATAATTCTTTGTTATGGATGATCTCACCCTCTGGCAAAGTGTATTGCTTTGACCAGTATCAGCTGTTCATTGCCCCTAGTTTCCCTGGGACTTGAGAGCCAACATGCTGCAGCCTAAAGCCATGCATTAGGCCTCCTGATATTGTTCACAATCCCTGTTTCTTGTAACAGTTAAATGAACCAAAACAAGAACTGCACTCCTCTTCCCACTATGCTAACTCTGGTTCTGTACCCCACTGTGAGATAATCAATTTGGAGATTGTTCCTACAGAACCCAGGAATGCCTGCATTGTCCATGTATGAGCCTGCCATGGGAACTGCTACTCAAGACCTAAGAATGATTATGTCATGGTCCAGCTCACTTGTGTGTGTGTGTGTTTTTTTTTTGCAAGGCAATGGGGTCAAGTGACTTGCCCAGGGTCACACAGCCAGCAAGTGTCATGTGTCCGAGGCCGGACCTGAATTCAGGTCCTCCTGAATCCAGGGCCAGTGCTCTATCCACTGCACCACCCAGCTGCCCCTCGCTTGTGTTTTTTTTTATGTATATAAAGCACTGCCTTGCCCCAGTATGTTAAGGCCTTCCAGAAGTCAGGAGGTTTTCTACTTGCAAGGGTTTTCCTCACTCTGAAATTAATTAAATTTCTGTTTAATCCCTGACACACTTACCTCTAGCCTGCTCTTTTTGGCTCTAGTCATTTCCAGGTTAGAGACCAGTTCTGGTCCAATTGACACTATTTACCAGATTGGCTATCTTTAAATTTCAACTACAATCCTACCTTCTATAGGAAGCTTTCCCCAACCCCTCTTAATTCCAGTGCCTTTCTTTCTGTAAATTATTTCCTGTTTACCCTGTATATAACTTGCTTTGTATATATTTGTTTGCACATTGTCTCCCCAATTAGATTGTAAGTTTTTGGACAGCAGGGATTGCTTTTTGCCTCTTTTTGCCTCTATCCTGAGCACTTAGTACATAGGAGATGCTTAACAAATATTGATTGATTGAAGGCAATAAACTGTACACACCTTTTCACCCACAGATAATACAACTAGGCCTATATCTCGAAGAAGTTAAAGAAAGAAGAAAAGTATGACATAGAGCTAAGAGGAACAAGGAAAGGAAAGGACAAAAAATGGAGTCTTGTTAGATAACCTGAGGAAAAGAAAAGGGTAAGAGAAGGGATAGGATTATTACTAAGGGTAGGAAGGATGATGGTAACCAACAACTGAGAGAAAGCAGAGTTTTCATACTTTGCTTTTGTTACTTGGCCAAGAATGACCGTGGCAATGGAAATCACCAAACAAAAATGGCTAGCAGAAAACTGATATCCAAGATAAATAAGAAGATAGAAAAAAGAGGATTGAAAGAGTGGGGATGAGGAGAAAGAAGCCAAAGAAGACAAAGGAAGGAAGAAAGGCAGGAGAAAAGGGAGGGATAGAAGAAGGAAAGGTGATGAGAGGAGAAAATGAAAAGGGAGAAGCAGGGAGACTGAGAAGGAGGGGGGGGGGAGGAGTGGGAGGTGAAAAGAGGGGAAGGAAGACTGCTTGGGCAGTGCCGGGGGCAGTGGCTTGGCCGGCGGCGGCAGGGCCAAGTCGCTCCCGCCTTCCTCCGCAGGCCAGCGGCCTTCTCCCGGGTTCCTGGGCATTGCTGCGGGCCTTCCTCACGAAGGTCCGGCTTCCTGCCTCACGGAGTCAGGCGGTGGCCTCTTTCCTTCCTCCCTGGGGGAGGGCGGACCTACCTCGGACGGGCGCGTCGCGGGGCTGGGGCTCCGAGAGGCCGTGACTGGGCCCAGGCGGCGGCGGGGTGTGATTTAGCCTCCCGCCCGGCCACCGCGGGCGCCGGCCGTACGTGCGCTGCGGCCACATGGCAGGCTCCGGGGCGGCTCCAGGCAGGACCGCTCGGAGTCTCCACTGCGTCAGGCCTGGGTCCTGCGAAGCCTGGGAGGAGCCGTCTGGAGCTCCACCTAAAGGCCCAGCTGTCCACCCACCCCCTCAGCACCAGCCTCCACTACCCTCAGGCCCAAACTGGGACTCTCCCCTTCCCCCTCCCCCCAGCGTCCCCTCCCCCTTCCCCAGGGGGTTCCAGAAGAGCCTTAGTCCCTGGCCAGGAAGCTAAAGGCACTTCACACCTTGGGACAGCCAAAAAAAATGTGACCCTGTGGAAAGGAGAGTGATTGTAGGGTGGAAATAGATTGATTTTTGACTTGGGTGTGTAGGGTTTGAGATACTCACGGCAATTCTGGGTGGAGACCCAGGTAGTGAACAACTGATGTTCAGCCCACTGTTAAGGTAGGATTCAATTCTATTTAACATCTATTTGCTACAAGCTTAGAATAGTACATGCAGAGCACTGTGCTGGAGAAGGATTTGGGAGTCATGGGCATAGTTGATTATTAAACACACCCAGATTTGAGCAGAGGACCAAGGGAGAGGGTGGGATTAGAGGAAAGATGAGGGTCTGGAAAAGAAACTTGGGAGATAGCCATGCTAGGTCTGAGGTGATGATCTGACAAATTAGGCTAGGAAAGGAGTTGTGAGGTGGTGGATTTTCACACTGACAATTACTGGATAATTAACTATGGGCATAAAATTGTTGAGGAAAATTAGCATTATGCTATATTATATTTCTCTGCAATCCATCCTTTCCCCCATTTCATCAGACCCCACTTCTCAGTCTAGCTCACCAGGCAGCTACTAAAGGGCTTGATCACTCCCAGCCTGTAATGCATCTGTTCTTTAACCACCTAGGGCTACACCCTTCCAAGTGGGATCGTTGCTTATCTTTGCCTATAAACAGAGAACCAGCTTGGGCTAGGCCTTCCCTAAGGATTTACTCTACCATCCTTGCTTCTCCTTTTCAAAGTTGGGGGTGACTTGGTCTCCAAGGGGGAAGTCAAGCTGGGAGGGGGAACTTGATTGAGATGGTTTTTGTTTTTCTAGCTAAGATTGCTAGAGGCAGCTGCGTCTCATAAAGCAGGGCATTCCTTAAGTGTCAGAGAAGCTAGATAGTGCAGTAGATAGAGTGCTAGGCCAGGGGTCAGGAAGGCTCATTTTCTTGAGTTAAAGTCTGGACTCAGACACTTGCTAGCTTTGTGACCTTGGGCAGGTCACTTAACCCTGTGTGCCTCAGTATCTTCATCTGTAAAATGGTTTGGAGAAGAAAATGGCAAACAACTCCAGTAGCTTTGTCAAGAAAACCCCAAATGGGGTCAACAAAGAGTCAAGACAGTACTGAAAAATACAGAACAATAACAAACGACAAAAAGTTGCGGAGAGGGATGTACACCTGAAGGTCAGCCTACCTTCCTCCAGTTACAGACTGAGGATTATTACCACCTCCCAACCTGAAGTAATTAGGGAAGAGTTGAAATAACTCAACCCACCTCATTAAAATGCTTGCCAATTGGGATTGTCTAGCCTTGCCTGGGGAGATTCAAATGATGAATCAGGCTAATCAGAAAGAAGACACAACTAGGTTTAAAAGACTTTGTCAGTCCTCACTCTGGGTCTCTGGTCATCAGGAGAAAGGCCATTGACCCAATTTATTAGTTACTGCTAACCTAACTAATAAACTGATCATGCTTAGGGCGTTGGCTTTTGCTGAGTGCCAGTGCAACTATTTTACTAACAGTATACTAGTCACTGTTATTAAAATATTTTGCCTCGGAGAAAACTGTGCCTCAGCATAATTTTTTACTAGCTACATAGCAAACATTTATATAGACTTAATATGTGACAGGCACTGTGCTATGTGCTTTACAATTATTATCTCATTTGATCCTCACACCTGGGATTAGGTGATATTTCCTTGGATGAATTACTGTTGCTTGTTTGACATAATTTTATTTAAAAATTTCCAGTCTACACTCATTTAATGATATTGGTTAATGGTTCTCCTGTGCTTTATTCTTTCCTGGCTTAGACATTAAACTTTTGTCACATAAAAGGAATCTGATAGGGTGCTTTCTTTTTCAGTTTTTGAGAATAATTTTTTTTAAGAGTTTAGTACAATTCTTCTGTGAATCCCTCATGACCTGTTCCCACCCCACCCCTGGGTAGTTCTCTTACAACTAGTTCTATTTCCTTTTCTGGATTGGATTATTTAAGAACTCTATTCAATCTTCTTTTAATTTGGGTAGTTTATATTTTGAAGGCATTCCTCTATCTCTTTTGTGTTTTCAGCTCTGTTCGTAAATGTCTGTGTACAGGTCCTAATAATTATTTTTGTTTCTTCTGGTTTTGTTGTGATTTCACCTTGTTTACTGTTTTATTGATTTGATTTTCTGCCCTCTTTTTATTCAGATTGATTAAAGTTACATCAACTTTTCTTAGTTTTTTTTTTTTTAAAGGAACCAGCATTTAGTTTTAGTAATCATTTCTACAGGCTATTTTTTGTTTTCAATTTATCTCTAATTTTTAATGCCTTCTCTTTCATGATCATTTTGAGTTTATTTGTTGACTTTCTACATTTTTAAAGTCTGTATTCAATTTGCTAATCCTTTTCTTTTCTGTTTTGTTGATGTATATTTGTTAGGGATGTGATTGTTCCTGCCGGAGGATTGCTTTAGTTGAATCTTTGAAATTTTGATATATTATTTCATCATTTTCCTTTTCTTTCACATAAATACTAGTTCTTTCTTTGATTTGTTTTTTGACCTAATCATTACTTAGAATTTCATTATTAAGTCTCCATTTGGGTGTGTCTTTTGTTGGTGCTTCCTGAATTGATCACTATTCTTATTGTGTTAAACTATGTAGAGGATGTATTTTCTATTTCTTCCTTTATCTCTGTGTCTTAATGCTTGGTCAGTTTTGTTTTTTTTTAAGTTTCATGTGGTGCTGAGAAATTAATAAGAACAATAACAGTAATAATAATAGCAATAACTAGATTTTTAAAAGCACATTAAGATTTGCAAAGCATTTTACAAATTTCTCATTTTATCTTCACAACAAATATTATCTCATTTTATCCTTGCAACAACTCTGTGGAGTAGATAGTATTATTATCCATATTTTACAGATAAGGAACCTGAGGCGAAAATGATTAAGTGACTTGCCAAACTAGTAAATGTCTGAGGCTAAATTTGAACACAAGTCTTCTTGACTGCAGGTCCAGTGTTCTAGTCACTATACCTAGTTAAAAAGTGCATATATTCTTTTGCAGTTTCTTTAAGAAGACAATGTAAGTCTTTCAGCTCTAGTTTTTCTGGCAATGTTGTGTTATTAGAATTTCATTTCCTTTATATGTGAAGGTTTTTCTCTTAGCAAATTGCATAATTTATTGTTTGTCATTGCAATTGTTCAACTTAACCACTATATGTCTTGAAGTTTGCAATGCAGGATTTTTTTTTCCTGGAGGAAATCCAGGAATTTTTTTTCAAATGGCACTTTGCTTTCTGTGCTCAGAAATTCTGGACAGTTTTCTTGTATTATCTTTTTTGTAATGGTGTTAGAGAATTTTTACTCTGTCATCTTTTGGGATACATGCAACTTAAGTAGTTGCTACAGCCTTTGAGATCAATATATTTTGCTTATAGAGAGATCACGTTCTCTTTTAACATTATTGCTTTTTGCTTCTCTGTTTAAAAAGAGAAGCACTTCTGTGTATTTGAATTTCCAACCAATTGTTCTCTCTTTTAATTCTTTGGTAAGACTTACTGTTGAGGGCTCAAATATTTTTATTCTACTGATTATTTCTGCTGTGTAAGTTATAACTTCTACTTGAATAGTTTTTATTTCTCTTTAAACAATTTAGGAACATCCTGCTGTGGTCTGTACTCTCTTGGGAATCCACATGGCCCTTTGCCTCATCAGGTGTTAATAATTTTCATTTGTTTTGCAGTATTTATTCACAGATGTCAGGACTCATTTGGCTGGTCTGGGTGTTATATTCTCTTTTGTTATAATATCTTCTCTGTTGAATTATCTGATTATGCTCAAGACCTTTAATTCAATTTTCTTCCTTCTGAGATTTTTGGTAGTTTCAGTCTTTCCCCCTTATTTCCCCCTATTGCTCACTTTATGACTACCTCTCTTTTGATAGCAGTTTTCATGGGGCTGGATTGCCAAACCACCCCAGCTTCATTCCAAGTTGGACAATGCAGGGTTCATCAACTTCAGTCTTTGCTCTAAGTGACTTCTGGAGGAATAAAACTGGGCCCATCTAGCTGCTGGGCTCTTTTCCTTCAGGCTTAGTGGAATGCTCCACAGCTTCCCTCCCCCACCCCCTACATGTCCTGCTTCAGTTTCCTTTGTTCCTCAGATCTCTAGCTGGGCTCTGTAATACAGAGTGCTGCTGTGCTGCTGTCCCTGACAGAGCAAGTTTCTATCTCTTGGTTTTCTGTAGCACCGGGAGGAAGTAGAAGGGAGTAGAGTTGAGTTCTTTTGCAAGATGGTGGCTAGGCTTCTGCAGCCTGGGCATTATGAGTGATGGAGGAGAAATATTGAGAGTGCTTGTTACAAGGTAGGCATTAGATTTCTTTGTTAGTTCATGGTTTTTGCCTTGTTAGGTTCTTGGTGTCTTAGATCATGGAGAAAGATGAAGTTGCTTTATCATTTGAACACACATCTTATTTTGGAGAGGTCTGAGAGTTTGTGCAAATTGGAAAGATTATCTAACCTTCTATCTTGTTGGTGATGTGACCCAGATGTCTCAAACTCAAACTTTAATTGCAAATGACTTCTCTTTACTCAAGAAAACAAAATTTCACCATTCAGTTCATCCCAGATACTGGTTAAAATCTTTTAAGAATATTCTTTATATTTTTCCTCAAAATAAGTTAAATTTATTCTCAGGAAATAATGTTAGTCCTTTTTATGTGCCTTCTCTTGAATCATTACAGGAAACAGATCATTGTAGTCAACAGATCCTCACAGACTCTTCATAGAATTCTTTTTATAATGTTTCTTCATTTTAAAAAGTTTTAATATAGTTATAATAATATATTTCTGCTGAAACATTTCTACTTTTCTTCTCCAGAGATCTTTTATAGATCAAGATAAACTTACACATGCACTCTCAAGATAAATTCACATACTTTCTCTTACTCTATGAAAAAACTCCTTATAGAATAAGTGTTACTATCTTCAACCTTTTGACAACATTCCATTAGCTTTTAAAGATAGAGTAATAGTATCTGTAATCTCTGTGGAAGAGCTTCAGGAGATAGCAGCTAAGGAGGAAGTGAATTCTGGGAAGCCACTTTGGGGATATTGATAGAGTCAATTAAGTAAAAATTTTAAAAAATTGTCAAAGGAATTTTTATGCCGATTTACCCAAACAGTGACCCAGTGTCATGAGTAATAGCAAAGGAAATCTCTCCATTTTAGGAGATTCAAGAAGCATAGAGTAATGCAAATAGATAGAGTAATGCAAATAGATAATCAGCTGGCCCAGAATAGAATAGGAAAAGATTAGGCGAGATCATGGTTTGGGGAAATGTTCACTACTTTCATCAATCTTAAGCTGTTTGCTACAGCAAAAGCCCATATGTTTATTATCAATATTCTCCTAATGAAGCTTCATAACTGTGGTTTATAGAACACCACCTTCTCAGATGAATTACAAATACAGCTGACTGCAGGGCAATGGGAAAAAATGTATTCTAGCTAAAAGCAGAGGGCAGTATATTACCAATGCAAAATACCTCTGTTGCCTGTTATTTGCTTTCTTTCCTTGGACTACTTATCCCCACTGTCCCCTTTCACCTCTGAGTAATGAAATCAATACTACCATCATTCTGGAAAGGATGTATCAATTGGCTTCCATTCAGATCAATTCTGAATGGTTGTTGTAAGGATCAAATGAGATAGCATATGTAAAACATTTTGCAAACCTTAAAATTTGCAATAGAAGTTTAGCTATTACTATTATTATTACTGTTATTACTAGTCCTTTGACTTCCCAGACCATAACTCTTCTCCCTGACCATCACTTCCCCATGTATGTTATTTCCTCCAATTGGAATGTAAGTTCCTTGAGGGCAGGACTGTTTCACTTTTGCATTTATATTCAGAGTGCTTAGCATAGTGCCTAGCACTTAATAAATAATAAGCTCTTAATAATTTTTTTTCATTCATTCACAAGCATTTGGAGACCACGAATCCTAAAAGTTTGTTTCCAGGGAGCCTGCATGCAACCCTCAGAGGTCTCTGGGAACAGAACTCGTGGAGGAATGTTGGAGGCAAGGATGTGTGTGAATGTAAACTGAGGCCATCCCAGACACCTTGCCCATTGTGAAATCAAGATTTATGATAGCACAGCCTCTGGAACATTTTATCAACATACCTTTTTGTACTAGAGTGGTGGTGGTGGCAGTCCAAGGACAGATTAAAGTCTGACAATGTTTCTAATGCTGATCAGTAGCATAGAGATAAGTTGAGGAGAAACTGTGAGGTGAGATTTTGGCTTCTGCAGCTCTTAGAATGACTACTGAGAAATCTAGTATTCAGCCTATATAGTGTGACTGACACTTTTCTTCTTGTGCTGAAGACCTAAGTATTTTTAACCAAATACTGATTCCCTGCCATCTCATGACCCAGGTCTCAGCATAGGAAATCACAGCTTGGAGTAGGAATACTTAACACCAGTTTAAAAAATTTTTTTCTGACTTTGGGCTCAACCAAGTTTAGGAACTGAATGAAAGTCTTTGTGTTATACTATGTTCTTGATTTGATATTGACATGCTTGTGTTTAATTTGTTGCTTTCATTAAAAGTTTTATAAATTAATGGCCTTTATGACATAGGTGAAGAATTTACCAATGAAGAAAATGGGAGTAGCCAGGAGATGGAGGCTTAGAATAGAGTATTTTGGTGGAGATATAAATCCACACACTTCATCAGATGATAGAAGTGAGAGGAGATACCACTTCTTTGAGGGTGGAACTATGTGGTGATTGTCAATAGCTGCTCAGAAATTCAGAAAGAACAGATAGGATGGCTGATGCCCATAGTATTCCCTGGTTTCACCAACTCAGATTGGTTTGGTATGAACTAATCACACAGTAAGAATGAGAGACCATGGTGGTATCCTTGAAATATTTAAAGAATCAGAGGAAGACATCCAGGCATCTTGGGTTCATTCTTTACGAGCAGTTTTGGAAAGATTGATAAGAATTTTATAGGGTTAAAAGGCATGAAAGAACTGTGACCTGCATGGGTGGAAGGAGTATATTTACTCATATAGATTAGATTACATGAAGGCATGAAAAAAATCAACACATGTAATTAAAATAATGGCATAAATCATAGGCATGTTGTTCATTGACCACCCAAATAGAAACTTCACTAGTTTCCTTCAAAGTTCAGTTGAAGCATTCTGATATGAGGTCTTTCCTGACTCTCCCAACCATCAGTGCTTTCCCTTAAACAAGTATCTTGTTCTTTTGTGTGTATTTTGCACTTATACATACACATCATCTCCCCCAACAGAATGTTAGCTCTTGGAGGGCAGGAACTATTTAATTTTTGTCTTTATATCCCTAGCACCTAGTAAAGTGCCTAACACACAGTAGGTGATTAATATGTGCTTGTTCATTCAATGAACATAATATTTTTATAAGTTTCGACTAGTTTGATTCCAAGACTAAGAATTATCTTCTAAATAGCTCTAATAGTGTGTGGGGCTCAAAGAGACGGACATTGCATTCACCTTCTGCTGACATGTCTCCATTTTTAAAGTAGCCTTCATTTCAAGACAAAATGAATAGGCATATCTACTTCTCTCTGGGATTTACCTCTATCCTAGGCTGCCTGTTAGTCTGACCACAGAGGGAAGGAAAGTTACCCTGTTCTACAAGCCTCTTCTCTTTCTTCTTGAAAGAACTAAACATCTCTGTCTCATTTCCAAGGCCATCTGTAGAAAGCATGTGACCTGTACCAACTGCTTTTCATTTTATGTCTTCCTTTTATTCTATATATGCTGGTAAGAAAAGGCATATAAGCAGAGCCCCCTTACTTAAGAGGGAACTCTAGCAGTCAGTCAGACTCCCTTATCATGGCTTGTAATAAAAATCATAATAAGAATTGGAATAAAGCTTCTCTCTGACTTCTACTACAAAACAATGAATTGTAGAGTTTTTCTACAACAGAAAGTATGGAGGGAGATGCCTTAGCAAAATTTTGCTTGGAGTAAGGAAGCGATGAAGCCTTAAATTTATGCCACAGATGAACTGGGTTTATAGCAAGTTAAGGTTAGTTACAAATTCTGATTGACTTATTATTGATCACGTGAAAAATATAATAACATGTTACAAAAAAGGAAAAATGTTTCTTACAGCTCATTCAAAATGAATATGAGTAACTTTGAAAATTGGAATTTATTTCTTTACAAAAGTTTTCATAAATGCATTTTATATTCTAAATATACATGCTAGTATAACAAAACTGAAAAGGTTATTACAATTAAGACACTTATACATATGCGTAATATTTTAATCCCCTCACTTTAAAAAATGTAAAATTAGAATAAGCAACACTTCAAAAAATGCCTTTTTTAAAAAAAATTGTTCTGATTATTAAAAAAGAAAAGTCAAAATAATCAGTCAAGTGAAAGATTTAAAAGCCACTGTTACCATCATGAAAACTTTTTCTACTAGGACCAATATTACAGAGATTCATATTCAAAGTGCTTACATGCCTTTTCTTTATTTTCACTACTAAGGAGTTTTAACAGAAGAATCTCATTTCTGGTATATTTCATTCTTAAACTTTAATCCCATACTGGTTGCAATAAATTGAAATGTCATAGTAAAGACTATGCAATATAAATGGATGAACTCTTTGGACAACCAGTATCCTCTTTTATTTCCATAGAAATGTTACTTTACAATAAAAATAAGTAAAAGAAATATAACCAACTTAGATATAAGAATAGATATTAATCATATGGGAGGATCTTCATCAGTTCTTTTTCCTGAGGAATAAATAAGTTCTTAAGTGGTCCTGGTTCATTCAAAAATAGTACTTTTCTCCTTTCTTTACATTCATCTCTTATAGGGTTATATATTCGATACAAATAGATCAAAAATGTATGCTTTACTCACATGGAAAATAAAAGTTAATAAGTTAATTTTTCTTCACAGCAGAAAAAATGTCATTTTTTTCTCTCTATATATACACATATAGTAAAATCAAATCCAAGGTGTGGACATTGAGCTGCTAAAACTATTATTATCCAGTAAGAATTTTATATGTAAAAAATTCACATTTGTAATGAAAAAAGATGGGTTTTTTTGTTTGTTTTTTACAATTCTGTAAGTTTAGGACCCCAAAGTGATTTATTCAAGTTATGGGAATTTGCTGTTTATTTTGTGGTTTTTAGCATATGGCAGCTTGCAAGACAGCTTGCATATAACTGACATGGGATGCTATGTGTATTTTCTTGGTTTGTTGGAATCATCCTGAATGTCTGAATGTGGACCAACAAGATACCCTTTGTGGCCAAAGTGAATAGAAATAGTGCAAATTGTATTTGATAGTATCCGTGGTACTGTAAGAGAATACTAGAAATTCACAACTTCAGCAAATGATGGGTATAATAAGCATGTTTTGAATGAAAAGCAAGCTAAAAGGCTGAATATGCTTTTCTGTAAGACCAGGTAAATCCCTGCTAGTTGAACAGGAACACTGTGGTTTTATACTACCACAGTTAGTGAGGTCTAAGGGACTAATTAAATTAATGTGAATCTGTTTAGGGATGGTTTAATGTTTCCAGTATGGCTTTTTCCTGTCTTGCCTATTCAAACAATTCACCTTTTTCTGTCTAAATAAAGAATGCTGATTTGTGGATGCAAAATTTGCACTAAGGAAATGTTACCTTGATTGTCTTCCATTAGTAAATTAGGTAGTATTAATGGATAAGAACTTATTAATGTAACATGCAACATATTTAGGACCCATGCCATTCATTTCAACTTGGGCTTGCTAACTACTCTCACTCTGTAGTCATATGTGATCATTTCTATTATTCAGGAAAGACAAGAAACAGTAGATCTTTTAAGTGAGAGAAAACTGATTAAATTTTTACTGATAAATGACTGAAGTTAGCTGGTACAGGGCACAAGTCAGATAAAAATATGGTTTCTCTCATTTGTACAAAAATACTTTTGCACTCTTTGCTCATGTAAGATTCTTTTGGAAATAAAGGTAAATAATGAAGTTCATACCACAGTGGAAGAACAATGGAAAGTGCTTCTTTTTCATTTCTGTTTAATTAAGAAACATGTCATTTGCCTATAAAATTGCATCAGTTATCAGACAAACAATGAATTCAGCATTTGGTTAGTCAAATTCTATGTAAAGAAAAATCAATGAAATATAGATGCAATCTTTTTTTTTTTTTACACTTTGAATATTTCTTATCCAGAAATGTAATTTGCCAGTCTGCATGTAGCTAGTTTATTCATTCAGTTTATTAAACTTGCAAAAGCATGCAATGGAATTTGAGAGACATGTTAAAGTATGTGACAGATAAGATACATACATTAGTTTTTTTAGATTGAAGCTTTAGCCCATTCCAGTCTTTGACTGAAAAACAAATGCAAGATTGTTGTTCCAGAAGGCATTCATCAAGCAGGTCCACATATGTATTTAGTTTCTAAGTGACCGCATTTATTTATTTACAAAATGCTAGGATCCTCTCTGGCCAAAAGGAGCATCTCTGGTTGCTTGGTTGTTGAATCACTCAGCACTTTGGCTTCCTGCAACAAAATCTCTAATAGGGAAATAATGTCCTCTCTTCCTTGAAGTTCTAAACTTTCCAGAAGCAGAATGATAGTTGTCTAATTTGATTGCTTTTCATTATAACTCGGTTTCTGTTGTATGAAATTGATGATATCCATGTAGAGAACATTTTCTTTCCCGTTGCAGCAAAGAAAGACATATGTAGTAGCCATAACATGAGAAAAATGGTCTTTCATTTTTAAAGCTATTCAAAGATATTAAGAGATAGGTGAGCACATTTCCATACTCCAAGCTGTATCATGGTGTTTTTTCAGTTGCAATTTGCAGAAGCTTGTTGAACTCTTTACCCAGAACTACATGGGACATGGAACCATATTACCTTTGGGGAGCACCCCATCCTCTAGGAATAAGGAACCAAAGATCTCTTTTTATCTCAAGCAAGTGAGTGTTTTTGCAGATTTCTCTGTGATGGGCCAGATCCAGGTTCTGTCCTATTCTATGGCTATATAGAAATGTTCATCTAATTGGGCTTGCTAGTGTTAGCATTCACAGTTTCAGAGTAGATAACTGAAATATTCTAGCAGGGAGCTAGCTTATTTATACTAACAGTGTTCTATCCTGAGAAGTAAGTTGTTTTGTTGCTTTCCTCAAGTCTTCCTCACAGGGTCTTTTGGAGAGTCAGAAAATGTAACCTTCTAGAGTTTGTGCCACTTGAAAGTCCATGAATATGCAGATATCATCCTGGAAATATGTTTGTAATATTCATCTTTCTGAGCAATCCCTGTATAGTTTACCTTGGCTGGTTCTGTATTTTTCTCATGACTATGACTAAGCATGAAACAGTGATGACTTGCTCCTTGGCCTGAAATGTGTGTTGATGGTCATATCAATAAGGATTAGATAATGTTGAGAGACACTGAAGTTCTTCCAAATCTGGAAGCTGGCTTCTGCCTTCAATAAGATTTATTGTAACAATCAATCTAAATTTTTAGGCCAGACTTAACTGTGATTTTTGAGTATCAATTATTAAATGAGGTAGACCAACATTGTCTAGGTAAATACTTCATCTTGTGACTAGCTTGCAAATAATTATAGAATAATTCAATTATGTTTTTTTCCCTCCATATTTAATAGGATTTCTCTGATCATTGAGATTTTATACACATATATTAATTTTAGTGGTATACCATACTGGAGATGATGTCTTGATGTCTTTACATTGCCATATGCCATATTTGTAGCAGCCTGTTACAATGTCAGTTCAATAAAAATATATGGTGCTTGGTGATGATAGAGAAAATATTGTTAAAGAGTTCTCGAAACACGAAAAGGCTCAGTCATAAGGTCAAGTGCTTAGTCACTTTCAACTGCATCATTTTGACCACACTTTCAAGCATCACTAGGAATATTGCTACACCATCCAGTATGTTAAGAAATGCCCTTGAACTTCACATAGAGGTTGAATAAAGCTCTTCTATTTGTTTTTTGAAGTAATCTCTTAGTTCTCGTCTCTTAGCCTTTAGTGTTGGTGTCAGCAAGCCATTTTGTACTGAGAACATGTCAGAGTGTATGTAAATGGCTTTAACCTAAAAACCAAATGCAAAATATAGCTTTTAATATGAATTGGACACATAACATTCATAGCACAAATAAATATAAGTAAGCTTGTAATAAATCAGTGTGACTAAATATCTCTCATTAAGGCTTTTAAAAATCAAAGTAATTTTCAAATATAAGCTAGACAATCTGGTTACATCTACAAACTAGTTTTTATGCTCGTATGGAATCATCCTTCAGTTGCAGGTAGGGATTAGGATATAGTTTTTACCTTGCCTATTTCATCTTTGTTATTCATCATAGAAAATCCTGATTTTTGATGCTGAATGGAAGGTGGGAGAAATACTATAATCTCCCTTTTATTTTGATTAGTTTCTGAGGGTTTACCTGTCTATTGGGATTAACCAAACAAGGAGATCATAGGTGTTTTCAGTCACAGAAATGGGAGCATGGTATAGTGGATTCAGAGTCAGAAAGACTTGTATTAAATCTCAACTCTGACACTTTTAAGCTATGTGACCCTGGGCAAGTGATTTAACAGTTTTCTCATCTATAATACAAAAAGATTAGACTAGATGACTTCTGATCCTGTGAACCTTTGTCCACTGAACTGAGCCTTAAGTAATATGTAAAGGTGTGAAGTAGGTCCAAATTTCAAACTAACAGTGCTTTGAATGACTGCTGAGCTGCTAACTAGTTATTAGTTATCAGATGGAAATTGTTACACACACATATAATTATCAAGTTGTACAATCCATACTTATAAAAGTAAGTTCTGTAAAAAGTGTATTATGCATTGTTGGAGAGTTTTCCATCTCAAATGTTTGGCTATCTGGAGTGGTTTTGCATGTTATTACAGCTAGGTTTGGTTCAAGTATGGCTCTGATAAATTAGTGGATGATGAATTCATAAGAAATCATTACAGGAAAGCCAAGGATATTTGAGGATACACTTTACCTTTATGGACTAACATGGAGGACCTGCCTACACATCCGTAATGGGTATATCCCTTGGCATGCATGGAGGTAGAATAAAGGATCGTTAATGTGATCCACTGTGGAATTTCATGTATTCTTATATTTGACTCCCATGAAAATGAAAATGAAGTAGGACTCAAGGTGTTATAGTTACCTTTGTGTCTATTTCTTACTAGACTGTAAGGTTCCTTAAGGACAAGGATTTTTATTTTACCTAAACTTTCTATCTCCCTATTGCCTAGAAAAGTGAACTATATACAGTAGACATTTATAATATTCAATGTACTATAAAAGTAATGAATATAGCATTGTTATACCCTAATTCTTGTAAAGGCACAGCCCTTATGAGGAATCATAATATAAAAATCACAGTTGTATAAAGGCCTTTCTAGGCTCACTCAATATACTCACTTGCCTAAGTCAGAACTTCACTGAAAAAAATATAATCTGCAGCCACAATATGGTTAGAGATTTAAGTGAGAAACACTAATAGCTATGATTTATTACTGAGTAAACATCAAAGCTGTTAAGTCAAAAGATAATCTTTACCTGTTCAAAGGAATGTAGTCCACTTTCTTTTCCTAATCTGACCATATCATCCATTATAGCTTGCTTCAATTCCTAAAATGAACCATGTAAATTCTGAGTTACAAAGAAAATACAGGCGTAAATTTTAAACTCAAGAAAGAAAGAATGGTTTCTAAACAGAAGTTGATGGAAAATTGCTTAAAGTTCACAGAACAATTAATAAATAGACATGTTCTCCAGTACTTTTTTTAGATATCATGTGAAATGCTCCTCAATGACTACTAGAGAGTTCTTTTATCTCCCTGCACCCTTGCTCTACTGCCCATGACAGCTTCGGAGCATGGAGAGAATACTTTAAACAAAATGGAGCTGCCATTTAGGAAGTGGTTCATGTATGACCTCTATAGGATAATGGATTTAGGTCTCCAAGGAAGAAACATTAGAGGTTATTCCATCTAGTGCCCTCCTTTTATTTATATAGAAGCAAACAGGGTCAGGGAGAATACATGATTTCCCCAGTCACACAGGCAATCCAGTGGCAGAGCCAATTTTTAGACCTAGGTCTTCTGACTCAAAATCTAATAGTTTTTCCACTGTACCATGCTTCCTCTATTGCACTGTGGCATAGCAGAAAGACTACTGAAATTTAGAATCAAAAGTACCTGGGTAGGAGTCCCAGCTTGTTTTCTAGCTGTGTAAATGTCTCTTTGTCTTAGCTTAGTTTCTTTGAACCTCATTTTCTTCTTCTGTAAAATGGAAATTATAGTAATTGTACTCTCTAACTCACAGGATCATTTTGAAGAATTTACTTTATAAAATAATAATAGTAATGATGATGATGATAATTTGCATTTACATAGTGCACTAAGATTTGCAAAACAATGTGCAAATACCTAATTTTGTTGTCACAATAACCCTGGAAGGTAGGTGTTATTATTACCCTCATTTTATAGATGAGGAAACTGTGGCAGAGGTTGTGACTTGTCCAGGTCACACAGCTAGTAAATGTCCGAGGCTGAATTTGGACTCAGACCTTCCTGAGTCCTGGTCCAGCACTCTATCCCCTGTATCACTTAGCTGCTTCTACAAGCATTTTTAAATGCTACAGAAATTCAAATTATCATATTTATTCAAAATATAGCCCTCTACCTTCCCAAGCCTAGACCATGGAATGCATATGGTTTATGAATAAAGAAGGCACTAAAGCTTTAGGCAGTCTGGTGTCTTAAAGGTTTTCTTGGTACATGAGCATTTGACCTGGTGCTTCCAAGCCTCAGTATTTAACTGTGCTTTTAATTCCAGAAGTGTTCTGCTAGTGGTGTTTGGACAGTGCATGAATTTAGTATCCTAAATGTGTGAATCATAGGTCAGTAAGATTTAGAGCTGGTGGGATCTTAGTCTAATTCCATCCCATTATTTTATAGAGGAAGAAACTAAACTATGTGAACAAAGCAATTCTGTGCCCTATGGTGCCCTGTTTGCTAAAGATACATTTTTTTCTTGCTTTCTCTAGCATTATATTCCCTCCTTCCTTCCCTACTAGGAATGGTTTATACTTTGGCCTATAAGAATTTTTGATTTCTTTAATTTCATCTGTGATTTTTTAAGTATAATGTTGACATAGGAAAGGCTAATTCCATAAAGAATGTCTACTGCCCAGATTATAGTATGCATTTGAATGGAAAATTTCTACAATTTGTCCATCAGTATGTATATCTCGGACAGGTATTACAAGTGGAAAGTCAGCTGGATCCTGAGTTGAACAGTGGGCTGAATTGCCTTTGGGACATTGCAAAACTCTTTTAATGGACTCAAGTTTCTCATGGAAATAAAAGCCCATCTTTTAATGCTCATATTCCACCAGTATTGCTGTATGGTAGCAAGACATGAAATGCAATGGCCTCTAAAGAATTAAAAATGAACATAACATAGAGGACAAAGGTAAGGCAAAGAGTGGGCATGAGCAAGCTGTCACATATAAGCAATCAGGGACTTTAAAGGAAAACAGGAATAAAAGATGTCATTAAGTAAATGCATGACAAGAACAAAAGAAAGGGTGGTCATATGGCAAGGATGAGGGATGAGAGATGAACAGTTAGAGTCTCCACTGGAACCCTCTCAAAGTCAGGAACAATAGATGGAAGCCTCCAGCATATTGGGTGAACCATCTGTGGCAAATGTATGGGAAGATATGGACAAGAAGATTGATAGGATGGGCAGGTATGAATGGGTTTCAGTCTGAATCTTTGGAGGAATCTCAAATCTATGAGATTATAGATCCATTTGAGTTGTGTAAAGTGTACTTAGTTGTCAGATTTCATTTTCAACTCACCACTATTAAAAGTGGTTATAAAACAAAAGTACCTAATAGTTGGAAAGAGCACTAGGATGTGAATCAGAAGACCTGAGAGTGACTAGCTGTATGACCCTGGTTAAGTTCCTTCCCCTTTCTGGGTTTCAGTTTTGCCCTCTGTAAAATAAGACCAGGTGGCCTCTAAGGTCACCTTGAGCCCTGAGATTCCAATTGATGATTTTTCTAAGTTCTAAGGGAAGCCACAGTTTGTTGTTGTTATTTTTTTGGGGGGGGGAGAAGAGAATAGGAAGTAGGAGGGGTATGATGGTTAGAGAAAATGAGCCCTCTAGTTAAGAGTTCATTGTTTTGGAGGTTTCCTAAGAAGTCCAAATTTCACAAGTATAGTTTTTCATTGCTCTCCTGTCATTAGCTAGATCATCAAATAAGCAGCTATGTCATAGAAAAGAATCCCAAAGACACCTACCTTATCTTGACAGAGCTCTGCATACGTTCCATCAAAACCTCTCTTCTTTGCCCAACTAGGCATGACTTCAGGATCAGGCACAACAATGCCCACCAGGAAAGCCTGTCATTTCCCATAGATTTAAAAAAATTAAAAAGTGACACGGATCATTTATTAGTATTCTTGAAAAATTCATGTGTCCATCCATTTATGAAACATCTCCATAAATAAATTCCACAGATGAGATTAATTTGTAATCTAATTACTTATACTTTTTAATGGCATTTAATGTCAAACTGTAAACCTATTCATAATCTTGTGTCCAAATTTGGCTTTGCTTATGTACATATTAATCAATGTAATCTTGGATTGCAAGTCAAATGATTCTGTAATACCAAAAAAAAAATTTGCATTTTCACTCAAGGCTCTTAGTATATTGAATAACCAATTACCATAATTGCAACATTTCTGTGATTCTTATTTTTAAATAATCTATTTATAAGACCAAATAACCAGTTTAAAAATTTAAGAATTCTGTTCTAATCATGCTAACCTTGTGAATAGTATAGAGAGAGAAAAAAAGGGACCATGACTGACTTGTCCCTTCCATTTCTAAATTTTAATGGTGCTAAGAGCATCATAATTAGAAATTACTTAATGTATTACTTTATGCATACTTTTCAAATGTTTCATATTTTCTTTCTTAAGCATTTAGATACCATCTTTAGGCCTACTGTTTAAAGTGTTGCTCTAATCATATGTAAAAATTCATTAGAATTATGACTCATTCTAATGAAAGGGGAGGAATCACCTTTCTCTTTTTGGTGGAAAGGTGAGGAGTCTACAGGATGCATACCCTGTCAGATAGTCTTGCTCTGTTAGTCTTTCTTAATTGCTTTTTGTTATAAAGGAGGTCTCATTTGGTGGTGGTGGTAGTGGGTATTTATAGAAATCACTGTTATGTAAAAATAAAAGGCATCAATAAAACTTTTTTAAAAAATTCACTGGAATATGGTTACACCAAATGATTAGAATTATGACACTTCCTGACACACTGATAGTTCAGAATTACATGTTTCTTCACTGAGTTTTCTAATTTAACATTTCTTCTGGGAATGATTAAATTTCACTCCATTGTGCATTTTAAAAAAAACTTCTAAAATAACTGGTTCTTCCCTTGATAAGGAGAACTTATCAATACTTTTAATACTTTAACCTTTGGGAAGTACAGCAGGGAATTAGGATTTCTTTTGTGATTGGGGGGACAGGGAAGCTCACACTAATTATGTGTCAGCTATTGGAGTGTTCTAACCATTAAGAACACTCTTTCTCCTTAGCAAGATTGATAAATAAGGATGTATACTCAACAATTCTAAACATTACCTGTAAGCTGTCTCCATGCACATAAGTCTGAGCTACAGGTTCACTTCTAATGTAGATGTTTTCAATCTTTTCTGGAGCAATGTATTCTCCTTGAGCGAGTTTAAATATGTGCTTTTTCCGATCAATAATTTTAAGAGTACCTGCCTGTGGGTAAGAGGAAATGGTTTTAGTAAAAATTAACAAGTAATCACAATAGATTGTCTCATTATCTGTGCAGTTTAACATACTGTATTCCACACTCTCTTTAGAAACACTGTAGCCAAGCAGAGTGTATGTAGTTTAATAGCCTAAGTGAGTTGCAAATGGAAAATAATACAAATTAGATACTTAGAGAACTAAATTTTGTTTTGCTGCTGTTGTTCAGTTGTTTCAGTCATGTCTGACTCTTTGTGATCTCTTATGGGGTTTTCTTAGCAAAAATGCTGGAATGGTTTGTCATTTTCTTCTCCAAATCATTTTACAGATGAGGAAACTGGGCAAATAGGGTTAAGTGACTTGCCCAGAGTCACAAAGCTAGTAAATGTCTGAGGCCAGATTTGAACTCAAGAACATGATTCTTCCTGACTCCAGGCCTGGCTCTCTATCCTCTGTGCCACCTACCTGCCCTAGAGAATGAAGTAGGCACTTTAAAATGGTAAAATAAAGGATGTATCAACAATCATAAAGGTAAATTAAAGAACCTTGGGTCAATCTCTCTTAATCTACTGTTTGGAATGACTCTGGCAATCTTTTCTGGTTAGAAATTGAAACAGTTATGCAATAGTTGGTTTAGCAAAGATTTAGGGATTTAGGGATGGTATCTGAATACAATCAGGTGCTACAGTGGAGACATAGAGAACCCAGATTGGACATTTTTCAAAGAAAGACCCTTAGCAAATATGCCCAAATATATATCAGTATCATACTCATGTCTTCTCCCTTGAGCACAACTCAACAAATATTTAAGCACCTACTGTGTACAAGGCACAGTGTGCTAGATACTGGGAATAGAAAGATGAAAAAATAATTGACAGTTCCTGCCCTAATTGAGCTTATAGTCTATGGGAAAGTGGGATAATATAGCATCTACACAAACTTCTTTCACTCTGATTTCAACAAGATGCAAGCTTGCCATCTCCTTCATTACAATCTAAGGAATCAAAGTTGACACAAAGTTTTCTTAAACTCCTCAGGGAGTAAGAGTAGGCAAATAATACATACAGGTAACCACTTCCCAATATCTCCAGTATGAAGCCAGCCATCCTTGTCTAGTGCCTCATCGGTCTTCTCCTTGTCTTTGAGATAACCCTTGAAAACGTTTGGTCCTTTCACGCAAATCTGGATGAAATAAAGATCCCTGTTGACTGATGATAGCAAACAAACTTTACTATCAACCCAGTTAAACTCTAGGGGGAGCAGTTGATTCACCATCCCTGACCCTCAGTTACCCTCCTCATACTAAAAAAAAAAATGAAGATTCAATTCTCCATTTTTAGAATGCTTATTCTCTCCCTCTGCCCATCCTGCAAGGCCAGCACAAGTTCCATCTCTATCATAACATTAAGTTGACACTGCCTTATATTGTTATTTATCTCTTTAAGTGTACATATCTAATCCCCCTACTAAGTTCTTTGAGGGCAGAGACCATATCTTTTTCATCCCATTATGCTCTACCACATCTAGCACATGGTACCTGAGGCATAGCAGATGGGCAGTCAATGTTTGCTGGTTGAGTGAGTTTCTCTACTCTTCTATCTTATCATATGCAAATGTAATGATAATAAAATCAGGGTTTTAGAAATAGATTGTTGCTACTCTCCCTTCATTCCTCTAATGATGAGTGACTCAAAGGGAAAGCACAGAGGGGACTATAGCCCATTTCTACACAGTTAATCTCATGGACAAAGATGAAATTGTAGCTGTGCAGAAGTTATTTTACCCAAGCTTGAATTATAAGAAGTAACTTGAAAAATCCTGGGGAAATCCTACACTTGATTTGAGATAGACATGAACTTTGAGTTTGGTTGAGGAATAGGAAAGTAGATTACATGAACAACAAATAAATAATAAATTAAATAGAGACAATATGGGAGGTAATTTTGATCACATGGGGGAAGCAATATAAAGTGAAAAAAATCTCACTTTTTTCTCAACATGTGTAGATAATTATAAGCATGGATAGAAAAATAGAATTATGTCATTTAGGCTACATTTTACCTCACAAATATAGTCATTCACTCAATTATATAATAAAATGCAGTGTAACATGCTGGAAACTGTACTGGATTTAGAACCAGGAGACCTGGGTAATCTTGGCTCCCCTACATACTAATTGTGTGATTTTAGGCATGTCAAAATTTCTCCAAGCCTTGGTTTTCTTGTCTATAAAATGGGGATAATACTGGCTGGGAGGGAAGAGCTTTGTAAATTTTAAAGCTCAACCTACAGAAATGTGAATTATGATGATATTTAAAAGGGAGTAAAAAGGAAAGAATGTGATTTAAAATACAAACTGATCCATAAAAGAAATTCAAAGAGGCAACCTCTATACTGGCATGCAAAGTCTAAGTACCAGTTTTCTGCACCATCAGAGTGACTGATGTACCTCTGTGCTTCAGCAGCCACCCCTGGTTATGCCCCTAATGCTTTTCTTACAGGCTGTCAGACATGCCCTAGCACTCAAATACCATAGAGGTACAGTGCAAGAAAGTGGCAGCTAGGGGACACAGTGGATAGAGTGATGGGCTTGGGGTCAAATATAGCCTCAGACACTAGCTGTGTGACCTTGGGCAAGTCAATTCACCTCTGCCTCAGTTTCTGCGGCTGCAAAATGAGTATAATAATAGCACCTACTTCCAAGGGTTGTTATGAAGATCACATGAGATAATACTTGTAAAACACTTAGCACCATACCTGGCACATAGTAGGCCCTATATAAAACATTGTTGTTATTATTGTTATCATTATTGTTATTAGTCTGTAATGTGAATGAAGAGATGGAAAATTAGATGCTGACTAGCTGGAACTAGGAGTGAAGAATGGAGATAGGCAGTAGGCAACAGAAAGAGGCATAAGAGATGATACTAAGGACTTGAGATGAAGGCTGGGCACTGCAGATGGGGATGAGGACTAGGAATTAGGGACTTTATTATGCCTTTCATTATCTCATTAGACTCTGGTGATCACAGATTTAAAGCTGTCTAATCCAGACTCTTGATTTTACAGATGAAGAAACTGAAGGCTAGATAGTCACACAGCTAGTAAGTAATAGATCCAGGATTTCAATCCAGGTCATTTGAATCTGAATTCAGAGCTGTTTCCTTGGCACAATACTATTTAGGGTGTTGTAGAAAAGATTCTTATTAAGGTATATTTTGGATAACATGACCTTTAAGGTCCCCTTCAACTCAAAATTATATGATCCTTTCAGAATTTTAAACAATAACTAAATGTAATATATGACATTAGCTTTTGGTGATTCAAGTCTCCATGCCTCTATTAAACTAGGCTAATATTCACAAGCTTTTTTTTCTGTTATTTCCCCTTTGTTTCACCATTTGATTATATAATACAAGAAAATCACATGCTACACACACCTGAAGTTGTAGTTCTCCATGTTATTATGACAAACTTGCAAAGCAAGTTTGAGGAGCTTTTCTTAGTGTTGGAGATGATGAACTCTGACTAATCCCCCCTGCTTAAACTTACCTCTCCCTCTCCTTTGGAGGCAAAATAGTTCAGTTCTTCCACATCTATCAGTTTGATGTAATTGCAGGGTAATGGTGCACCCACATGACCTACAAATCAGAGTAAGCTCAGCAAGTTTCAGCTTTCAAACTGAGCTCAGCATTAATTAATTTCTAAAAGACATCCCCAAGCCTTTCAAAGTAAAGGTGCTAGATGGTGCTTTCAATCCAATACAGATCTAGAACCTCTCCTCCTTCCTCTTCCCCCTTTCATATTTCCCTAAATCTTAAAGCTACAGAGAAAGAAGAGGTCCACCGCCACCACTTTCTTGGCTTAAGTTTTGTACCACAGGAGAAAATGGGGTTTCTCCATGGGGGGTATTGCACAGAGAGCATGACCAACAATATTATAGCTCAATGTCATCATTTTCTGGCACTGCTTAGAAAAACAGCAACAAAAATTATTATCATTAAACATTTCCCAAATGAATACTTTTACTTTCGTTACAAACTGGCAGAATTAACACTTCTTCAGCAATTAAAGCTAGGTCCTTATTTTAAGTGAAAAAAAATCTCTTATAAAGTTACTTAAATTTAAGTTTGCCTAGTCAACCTGCTCATCTCATGCTGATTTCCTGTTGTTATAGATGGGATTCACTGAGTGTTGTGTTAGGTGATTGAGTTGAGAATGGCTACAATGAATCCAGATTAATCTTGTGTACACTAAAGACAAATTTATATATTAATCATTTTTTAAAAGAATAATTATTTAGGCTCACTTATATAGGCTCAACCTATAGATTGGCTTGAAGAAGCTTTACTTTGTTAGCTACAGGACATACATTAATGTAGGATTACTGAGAGGCAAATACTGGCCAAGATGCTGAATGAAAAGAAGGATTGTATAACGTGAAGGGCATACCATTTCTGTGTCTCCTTTAAAATAGGGAATATTTCCCAATAGGCTTTTTTTTTTTTTTTTAACTAAGCAATCCTGAACTAAGTAAATGAGAGTCAAGGACATATGATTTCTATCACATTGGAATTCCTGATTTGAGAACTCCTTCCACCAGTGGAGATTAAATTCTATCTATAATTTATAATTTTAGAGAACTGATTGAGACTTAAGAGAGGTTACCTGAGTTACTTACTGTTACATAGCTAGTAAGCTTCAGAGGCAGAATTTGAATCCTGGTACAACATTCTTTCTACTTCAACAAAATGGCTCTAATCTTTAAATATATTAAAAAAAATTTAGCTTATATCCTTCCCTTTGATTTTTATATTAAAATTTCCTATCCTTTTACCCTATGCCTTCTTGCTTCTGCACATTCTTGCCAGCTAAAGCAAAAGCTTTTAAAATAGCTGAGATTAAAAAAAAGGCAGACCAGACAGATCTAACAGTGAAAGAATATATGTCCTCATACTGATTACCTCATAGGAATGGTGTGAGGAAAAGGCATCATAAACCTTAAAGTGATATAAAAATGTGAGTTTTTGTTATGATCTTATCTTGTTTGATGGGGTTCAGAAATAGTCCTAGGATATATTTTTATCTTATTGCTCATTCATATTTAATATTCTATGAACTATTTTTCAGGGTGATAAAATAACTTTTTTTTGGTAGTTGAATAAGTATTAGGATGTAAGTAGGCTCATTAAAAGCAGCCTTGGTACAACTCCAGTAGCACACAGAATAACAAGGACAATATGCATCTCATTCACTTCTCACATTATTTTGATCTCATCTGCTATATTTTGTAAGTTTTATTTTTTTGTTCCATATAGCATGGAAATTATGAGCATGTGGTATTATGATAGCTACTATAATTATTTTTAAGTTTTTATGGGTTGGTGTTATATCCAGCAATTATGGGTGATAGTTCAGTTTTTGATAATGGTCCACTTCCACTAGAGTTTATTGAATGAGTTCTTTAGGACATTTTGAGATCTGAATTTATAGTTTGGTGATTTTTCATCTGTCAGTCTAGGGAGTTTCTAATATGTAATTCCAGCCACTAAATCATATTTTACTAAATATTTGTAGATGCTAAATTTTTACAATCTGCATTGATGTACTGTGCAGTTGTTTGTTTTACCATTTCTTTGCATAATCTACCTTGATCATTAAGACAATAATAGCAATTCGGGACCAGGTCATTGCCATTTCTGTAATCCATAGTGGCAATGACCTAGTCCTGAATTGCCATCATTAGTCTCTCTGTTTCTGTTGACAAATCCTCACGACTCAGCTATTTATTTAATATTTCTTTGTTGCTATATTGTTGGCTGAATTCATGTGGATGTCATCCATAGAGGACCTTTTAAATTCACTCATTGATCTTAGATGTTTCATAGTCTCCATATGGAGGCAAATGACTTTCAATTACAATCCACAAATCCAGTGATGAGTACCTTGAGTAATGATGATGTTGTTTTTCATGAGTAGCATGAAGGAATAAAAAAGGTAGCAAACAAATCAACATACGGGGGAAGGAAGGATAAGCTGGTAAAGAAGTGGTCAAAGATCCAGGAGAAAAATGAGAATGGAATCTCTGAAGATGTCTTATACATTGTATTTGAGTGCCCTAGATAGGTCAGGGAACCAGTTCATAAAATAGGTATTATAATTTCAACAGCATTAGAGAACACTTTGTAGAATGAGGAGAAATGGGAACAAGGGAGAATTACATGAAACCTTCCCAGTTTTGATGATATAATATTGCATCATGTAACTGTGTAGTATCATACTGTAAACAAGTCATTACACAGCACATATTCCAACTGATGCATACTGGACTTCCTTACAATGCGTGACACACTTGCCTGCCAACATTTGCTTATTAGGACCTGTCAGCAGACTTGACCACTGATTGGTTATAACTTGTATTTTGTGTGTTTATTTGAAAAATAATGTAATCACTATGACCTTAACTGTGTTACACAACAGATAAAACAAGTATGAATGGTTTTTCAAAATTTTCTTCTCTTTTCTTCTTTCCTTATGCTTCCACTACCCCCTTATTTTTATTCAATGCCCCCCAATTGCACCTGAGACTACTACCATCCTCCCTAGATTGTTCCAAGATCCCCTAGGGGGTGGTATTGCCTATTTTGGGAACCTATGTTCTAGACTAAAGTCTAGATTGATTTAAAAGGTCCATCATCTCTCATCTCCTCAACATTTTTTTAGATATAATCTTATCTTTATCTGTCATTTTCCTTTATTCTACTTTATGCCATATTCATTTGGGTACATGCCATATCTTCTTTATTAGAATGGAAATTACTTGAGGACAGGGACTATTATTTATAATAATAGTAGTTTTTTATAATACTTGCTCTCTCCTGGCTCACCTGCCTCTGACTGCTCCTTTCTGTTATCCTCTGTAGGATCACAATCTTTCTCCCACTTTCTATGTATAAATATACCCCAGGTTTGTATCCTGGGTCTTTTCTCTCTTCCCTCCATGTGAATTCATCAGTTCCCATGCGATTAGCAATCACTTTGATACAGATGATTCTAAGTTCTGTATGTCCTGTCCCAAGCTCTCTCCTGAGCTCCAGCCCCATATTACTTTTGGATTCCTATTGAACATCTCCCCTCTGCTAGCCCTGTAAGTATCTCTGACTTATCATGTTGGAAATAAGAATCATCATCTTTTCCTTCAAACTGCCTTTCTTTCTTTCCCTGACATCCTTGTAGTCATCCAGGTCCCTAGTCTTATTTATAAATTGTATAATATACTACTCTACTAAATAATTATATACATTATAAAACACATACAATTAGACATTTTAAAAAGATGAGATTAATGAGAAATAATATTTGATCCTTGAGTCCTCCACTTTTTCTTTTTCCTTATCCTTCTTATCAGTTGTGATATTCTCTTCATTCTACCACATTGTGTCTTGAATCCATCACCTCTTTCTATTCACAGGACCTCCATCCTAGTTTAAGACTGATATCACCACTTGCACTGGCTATTATGATAATTTTCTAATTTGTCTTTTAGCTTTGTCTTTCCCTTTCTCCAAACAGCTGCTGAATTTATCTTCCTAGAGCATAGGTCTGACCATATCACTCTACTGTTCAAGAAGCATCATTTAGCAGCTTCCTTCTGCATCTAGGATAAAATACAAAAACTTATTTGGCATTAAAAATCCTTCATCTGGCTCTAGCCCACTTTTCTAGGCTCATTGTATATTATTCTTTATTATATACCCTACATTTTAGTGAAGAAGAATGAGACCTGACAAAAGGATCCACTAGATTTGGAATTTAAGTGGTCATTGGACAGAGGTGGCATGATCTAGTAAACACAGAGTCAGTTTCAGAATCAGAATGACCTAGATTTGAATCCTATGTCTGACTTATACTGGCTGAGTAAACTTGAGCAAGTTGTTTAACATCTCAGTTCCCTAAGCCAATGGCATCCAAAGAAAAAGGTTAAGCTCCCCTAGAAGACTGTAGTGTGATCCCATAAGTGATGAATCAACCAATTGAAGGGTGAGAACATGGGGTCACATCTACCCTTTCTATAATAGCTATTCATGGATTTGTCTTCTCAGGGTGCCCATAAATTAATGGGGACCCAGGTATCTGTAGTCAGGTTCTGTGTTTTAGGGCAGTGGCATCTTCTTTCTCATTTTGGGGGTAGGTGGGAAAGAGTAATACAGGTTGAGTCTTCATGGATCATGCATCACATATCTCAGTGCACCTAAATCTTTCCACCTAAATCCTCTCCTCTTCTGAACTTCCCCATTACTTTTAATGGTAACACTATCTTTCAGGTATCCCAGGTTCACAACTTTGGTGTGATCCTCAAATCCTTACTCATGTCATATATCTTATCAGTTGCCAAATCTTTTCATTTATACCTCTACAACATTTCTCACATATGTCCCCTTCTCTTTACCTATCTGGATGCAGTTGCTAGTTCAGGCCTTCAACTTGACTATTGCAATAGCCTAATTAACCTCCCGGCTTCATATCTCTCCCCTCTAATCCATCCTCCCCACAGCTGCTAGAGTGATTGTCCTAAACCACAATTCTAACTATGTCACTTCTCTCCTACTCAATAAACTACAATGAATCCCTATGACTTAAGAATCAAGTATTGTTTTTCCTTAATCTCATCCTTTTAAAATGTCTATTTGTGGTGTGTTTTATAATGTATATAATTATTTCATATATGAGCATATGTATATAATTCATAAATAAGTAAATAAACACTTATTGGAGATGTAATAAAAAAATGTGAAGACCTCTGCCAAAGGCAACACTTTAATGCTGTTGAGTTACAGAACAGAGGCTGATCTGCATTGGCAGAGAGTTTCTTCCCAGGGAGTTTCCTATGCTATTCGCAGCTCTGGATTCCATTCCCCCAAAAGTGTCATTGATGAACTTGGAGAAAGAAGTTTCATTAGAGTGGTAGAGGTGTAACTGAGAAAATAAGGGAGAGTGAGTGGATGTTGAGGAAGTGGAGGAAATAAATGTAGACTCTAGAAATAGAAGTAGAAGAGGTAGCTTGAGGTTGTAGTAGGGTTCAAAGGTAGGGTTTTTTTTTTTAGGATACAGGAGGAAAGAACACACTTGTAGACATTATGGAAAGAACAAGTAGAGAAAAAGAAATTTAAGATGAGAAGGAAGATAGAGAATGACTATGGTCAGTAGCACAAGGTCCAAGGGGAGTTGGGATCAGGAGTACCACTAGAGGGTGACAAAGAGGAAGGTTACTTCACCTTCTGAGATTGGAACAAAAATGGAGAAGATGAGAGAGGACAGAGAGAGGTTTTGATGTCTGAAAGACAGGAAATGAAGCAACTATCAGAGATAGTCTCAATCTTCTCAGTTAAGTAGAAAGTAAGTCAGTCTTTTGAGAGAGGGAGGGTGGATTGAAATTGGGGGGGCACGAGGAGAGGAGTTTTGGAAAAGTTACTGTGGGTAGTGTCTTGGGTTGTTACTCTTCCCACCAGACAAATGTAAAGACAAGTGCCACTTTGGGTGAAATATCATTAAGATAATTCCTAGTTACCTAAATTATCATTCTGTGCCACAAACAAACATATGCATAATGTGATATCATAAACATTAACATTATAAGAGAACCCAGACCTTCTAAAGGATTGGCACAGGCCACACTCTAAGGAATATGGCTCTAGCTACTAGAATCCAGTATTTTCCTATTCACACATACTTCTGGTCACTCAAAAATTTTGGAACATTTGGCAGCCCGTTGTTTCCTAATGGGAAAACCTTCAAACTCTAACACACACACATACACACACACACACATACACACACATACATATATCCTAAGTATTTTTCTGCCTGGGATTAGATACTGTCTTGTTCTCTTTCTTACCTGAGGTCCAGTCCCCTGGAGTTGTGAAGGTACACCCAGCTGTACACTCAGTTTGGCCATAACCTTCATATACCTACAAGTGAAACATGGCTCTTAACCTGGACCACCAACTTAAAGATGCCATACTTAATGAGGTAATGTAGGCAAAGCTCTCTGCTATATAGATATCAGGAATGGTTGTTATAATTACTCATCTGGGCATTACTCAAACAGTAGAAATTTCCCCTGTGTTGTATAATGCTTTTCTTTTCAGCCGATTAACATCCTATGAATAATCTGAAAATAGCCAGCATTGGGAATGTGACATCGGTTGTTGTTGTATAAGACATGTAATTATGTATTGTACTTAGTGGAGATCACAGTGATGAATAAGTGAATAAGGTAGGCTGGGGATAAGCTCTTTTTTTTTTTTTTTACTATAGATAGTAAGTGTATAAAAGTAATGTGGTGAAGTTTGGGGCTTAATGTCTCTGAATTGCTTTAAACTTTATAGGTTTTAAAAATTTACACAATTTATTAATTTATTATTAAGCTCACTGTGTTTTATTTTAGCTATGCAAAAGCACATAGCCTAGAACCTTTCTAAATAATATCACTATGCATGAAAATTTGGAATAAAGTCCAACTGTCTTAGACATCTTCCAAAGGAATTTAGTTGCTATACTATTAAAAGAACATTGTTATAAGGGGGTAGTTCCATGATTCAGATGGTGAGGACCGTGTTATAAGTACAAAACTTTGAAAGATCAATATTTAAACATACTCATAAAACATATGTGGCCAATTCACTTGAATCCCACTAATAGTGTCCCATTTATGGAATCTACTATAGGGCCTTGCCCATAGAAAGCACTTAATAAGTACTTGTTGAATAAGTAAGTAAATTAATTTTAAATGCTACCAAAACACATTTAGTGGAAATACAAAATAAAAAGATATTGTTCCTCTTAATCAAAAGGTAAGACATATTTATATTTCTGTCTGGGTTAGGAAACATTGTACAAACTGGAATAGGTGCAGACTTGATGCATTCATAGTACTAGTTGTCAATCTCATATCCATGCCTTTCTATTCACATGACTACTTCTTCCCAACTCCCAACCCCCACTCAGTTAAGGCTCTTATCACCGCTTGCCTAGACTATTGCAATAGTCCCCTAATAGATCACATTTATGACCATATCATTACTCCCCTGCTCCCAAGGCCCCTTCTTATCTCCAGGGTAAAATAAAAACACTTCTATTTTGTTTAAAAACTCTTTACCATCTGGCACCAGTCTACCTTTATAGTCTTATTGTATATTACTCTCCCATATGCATTCTCTGTTTCAATCAAATAGGTCTGCTTACTGTTCTCAGGACACAGTATCCCATCCATCATACGAATGCCTTCGCTCAGCTATGTCTCTAGTACTTGGAATTCACTCCTTCTGTACCCTCTGCATCTTATAGAATTCTAGCTTTTCTTCAAAGTTCATCTCAAAGACTACCTGCTGTGGGATGCCTAACATGATCATTTCAGTTGCTAGTGCCCTCACCCCAGGAATTACTTCATATATTTTTTAATTTAATTCTCTATGGACATATTATTTCCCCCCAATAGAACAAAAGTTTCTTGAGGACAGGCACTCTTTCATTTTTGTCTTGCATCTCCAGGGCTTACCTCAGTGCTTGGTACAAAGTAGGAATTTAATAAATGTTTTTGAATTGAGTAAGTAACCAACATGCAACATATTTAGGCTCTTTACCCTAATAATATGGTATCAATAGTGAGAGAAACCTTGTAGTCTCCAGATAAATAAGTCCTTGTCTTCCAGAATATGTAAAATCTATTTTGGCTCTCCACCTTTGGGCTTATGTCTTCTGGAGGAAGGAGAAGCTGCTGTGTGGTCACTGGGTCCACATGATTCCCAACTATATTGCTTATGGGGATATCTAGCTGCTCTAAGATCTGACTCCATGGGAAGCTAGGCTGCATACTGTGGTACTGTACCTGACACCCCAAGGCTGCACGAAGAAAACCCAAGACTGTGGGAGATGCAGGAGCTGCTCCAGTGACAATCATCCTAACACACCCACCAAGACTAGCCTGTGGAACAGATGACAGGAAACAGTGAGTTAATTAGAATATTGACATATGCCTAAGACAATCTTTGCAGCATCTTGAGATATAACTAAATAATTTGGAGCCCAACCTCCCACTAAGAACCAAACCCAAGGCAATATTCAGGAACAGAAAGCTCAGAAGCACAACCACTAAATGTTAGAGGTTAGAAGAACCTTAGAGATCAGTTGTCCAATCCCACCACTTTACAGATGAGGAAATTGAGGCCTGAGGAAAAGGAATATCTTAGTCAATGTTATACAACAAGGCAGTGGTAAAGCTATAGACTTAGAACTCAGCCTCGGAATCTGGTAGCCACTTAAAGAGAACCCTAAAGTCATCTAGTGGGGATACGGAATGCTAGGAAATAAATTCATTCAATTTGAAGTTGAAGAAAATAAGTTAAATGCAGTGGAACAAGTCGCTTAATAATGTTTTCAATTCTTTAGTGTTGTAATACAATTTAAAATGAATTATTTATTTTATTTATTATTTACTCATTATTAATTTATTAATCTATGCAACCCTTTTGGAGATTTTGTTCTCTCCTTAATGCTGGTGCCCTTAAAATACACCCAGTCATTGTTACATCAATTCTCAGCACCAAAAGAGCTGAGTTATAAGAAGTTACCTCAAATTTCTCAAATGCTAATGGCCTTCCTTTTTATATATAGTTTTCAGATCAATACATTGCTTCCTTTTGCAATGCATCTCAGTGGATAAAGAAGACTTGGAACTCTTCATCTTTGTAAGTGGGGCCAAAAGCAATTTAAAGAGTGATCAACTTTCATAGTTAATAATGGAGCACCAAGTAAATGCACAGTCATGTCATTTTTCAAAAATACTAATTAACCATAGCTCCCTACAGGAGGTTAGGTTGGGCAGAGGTAAGGAGTGCTTTGGCAGAAGTATAGAACAATAACTAAGAATTTGGTCCTATTCAGGGGCAGGAAGGGCAGGAAACAAAGAAATAATTCTTGTAACTATAGATTGTGAAAACTGGAAAAGACTTTGCAAACTTTATTTAGTTTATCCATCCTGCTCATTTTAGAGAGAGATACTGAGGTCCAGAGACAGAAAAGGAATACTCTGAGGTGACATAATGAATCAATGACAGCCAGGACCAGAACACAGGTCTTCTAACTTCTAGGCTAGTGTTTTTTCTTCTGCCTTTTTATTAAATATTGCTCCATGAAAATTACCTTGGTTTTAGCATTCAGCTTTTTTCTTCTCGTGTCTAGTAGGGAGCACATGAAAGAGTTTAGGTACCTAACAGATCCTGGGTAATTTCACAGAAGAAAATTAAATTTTTTTGAGCTCCCTAGAGAATTACTGATTTCTCTTCCCTTAAGGCCCCACCTCTCCTTCCTGTACTTAGTCTCTACCATTGACCCTCATTTCACCTCTCCAGTTACAATATGCCAGTGTTGAAGTCATGAGACTTAGAAATATGAGCAAATCACTTGGGGTTCTTTGGAAAGGCAAGCATCTAGGATTGTTTTAATTTCCATGTGGAATGAACTGTCTGATACTTGGCATCATTCTACAACTGCTTTACCCAATTCCTTACCTGAATCTTATTAAAAAATAGCTCATCCCATATGCTATCATTTCTAATGATTCCACTTCGGACTTCAGCCTTCTTACGCTTTGCAGCAAATTCCAGGAGCCACCGTTTCAATGGAGTATTTGCTTGGCTGAAGATCTGAGACAAACAAAATGGACAAAAGCTTTCAATGGGCACAAAATGTCATGCTCAGTCACTTCTTCGTGATGGAAATTAATCTGCAAGCCTGGAACCCAACTCTGCTTCCACCTTTGGTGCCTTAGGATAGGAGATGGATGAATCCCTGCTGAACTTGACTAAAAGGGTAGTAAAAACCAGGAACAAGAAACTAAGCTATCTTTCCTAGGCTTTAGTATGCTCTCCCACCTATCTGTTATTATGGAATGGGAGTAATAGAAAATATAGAAGTGGAGAGGAAGAAAGGGGAAGGAAAGAGAAAAGAGAGGAGAATCATAGAACTTTAGAGTTAAAAAGAACTCTTTACAAGGTCATCTGCTCCGTCTACCTACTCAATGGAGTAATCTCCTTTATGATATTTCTGACATAGTCATTCAGTTTCTGCTTGAAGATTTTATTACAGGGAGCTCATTACTGATTACTGCTATTTACTTCACTTCACATTTAACAATTTAGAGATACTCTATCACAGCCCTTATGGTAAGTTTGGACAGCACAATGCATTGTATTATGTAGGTATTTAGTAAATGTTTGTTGACCAAATGGTGCAACCACTGAGGATGACCAGAAGTAGAAAGGGGAGAAGAAGCTTTGTATCAGTCCTTACCCATTTTGAGTAACTGGAAGAGTATATTTAAAACTCATCTCCTTCCAGCCCTTAGAACTCAAATGCTATCTTAAAAGCACCTATGGGTCATGACGATGATGGAGGCTCATTGGAGTCTCCCTATTATTATACTCAGGAAGAAAATCACATGGCTAGAAGCTCTGATTGAGTGTTAGGATGAGGCAGAGTGTCCAACTCAGGACAGGAAGAATGGATCCTCTGTTTGGCTCCAACATATCTTTCCAGGCTGATTACCTCCACCTCATGATGCATCCTCCACTTTAACTAAATAGGCTTGTGTGCTATTTCCTGTACTCAATGTTCCATCGTCTGTCTCCGTGCTTTTGCATGGGCTGTCCTGCGTGCCTGGAATGCTTCCCTTTCTCACTTCTGTCTCTTAGAATCTATCTCCTTTTAAGGCTCAGTTCCAGGGCTGCTTCCTCCACCCCCACCTGAGGCTTTTCCTGATTTCCCCAGCTGTTGATGCCTCATGTAAGCCTCCTTTGTATTTCATACTTTTTAGCAAATAAGTTGCTTCCAGTGGAACATAAGCTCCTTGAGGGCAGGGACTATTTGTTTTTGTCTTTATAGCCTGGTGTACAGTAGGTACTTAATAAGTGCTTGTTGAATTGAACTCTATGGTGACCAAACCAGCTCACCTTGTCATACATTCTGTTTAGCAGTCTGGGGACCACTGGGAAGATGGTGGGATGTAAAGCTTTCATGTCATCTGACAGAAGGCGGATGTCTCCTTGGAAGAATCCAACTCTCCCCCCATGGCAGTACACTACTGACTGTTTAAGAAAATGGCATAGCAGAGAGAGAGAGAGAGAGAAAAACAGAGAGAGAGAGAGAGAGAGAGAGAGAGAGAGAGAGATACTGAATAAAAGGCTATGTTCACCTTGGCTAAAGAACTATTTAAAGCCACCTAATTCCAGAGGGCAGAGTGACAACTGGCCTGGACTCTGATAGCCCAGCCATACATTGTCATTCCAGGGTAGTTCTAGGACCTGGGTATAAGGGAACTCACTCTATCCCAAAGTTATCTATGCATCTATGAATTAGCCCTTTGTGTGATTAAGAATGTGGGGACAAAGGCTGTCACTCTGGGAGTCCCACCCCAACCCCAAATGCCTGACCAGGTATTCTTCATTAGTGTCACCTGAAGGTAGCAGCCAGATTGCCTCTATGACTGTCCCAGTAAACTTATGCCTCAAGAAGAATGTGGATAATTTTTTCTAAAGCTCAGGCCTGTGCATCTTGGTTTTGTTTCCATAAACATATATATGCAATGTAATTAAGCATAATTTCCAGATGATCTTTAATCAGGTAGGTGGTACTTTTGTGTGTCCTCTAGTCTCCTTGGATGATAATTATAAGCCTATGTTCTCAAACTGAAGGAAAAATATCTTCCAAAAAGAGGTACAACAAAGAAAATGCTCTATGATAGAATACACCAGACTTATAGAATGAAGAGGCGGCAAGATCATTGAGTTCCTCTCCCGAATTTCATAGTTGTGGAAACCTGAAGTCCAAAATGGACGATAATATAAGGAAAGAGCTTTTCTAGCAGCAACATCACAGTCTTTGACATTCATTTTCCATTCAGCATTAACATTCTAGAATGGGAGAATATTGATCCATGTGTATATTCAAGTGAAAAGTTCATATATATGAAGACAGAGGCATGAAGGGATCATCTGCTTAGGGTGCTTATGCAATATCTTCTCCCACAGGACCTGGCTCATTCTTCCCAGAGATTCCTCAGGCACCTTTGGAAATTGCGCTAACTCTTCCAGAACTCACTAAGTAGTCATTGATTAGTACACCAAAGCTCGCTCTTCTCCTAGTGGCTAGCATTCCCTCAAAGGCTCCAGGTGCTACCTCTAGGGTTGCTTATAAACTGGGATGATGTCACATGTTAATATTTGAAGTTTTTCTTTCATTTGTAAAGTAATAATACAGTCTATAGTAGATATTCAAAGGCCATGCTTCTAGTGGTCCAATAGTCAAAATTCTTTTTTTCTGTGAATGTAGATTATGGCATCATCCCTTGTGTCCTCAGATTGGTTTGATGGTTAGAAAGAGGGCAGTGACTGTAGATCATTGTCATATTCTTGAAGCTTTCAAAGGGAAGGTTGACTCAGGGCAGGTAGAAAGACTTTTCTTTAGCATCTTTAAATTGGATGGGTATGGAAGGTGACTTTTGGTCCTAGCTCTGAATCAATCAACTTTTATTTATTAAAGAAAACGGTGAAGAAAGTGGAAGAGCTATTGGTCCATTAAACATTGCCTATCAGTGAAGGAACACTTCTGGGGAAAGAGATGTATAAATTCAGCTATTTTACTTGAGGCCCACATTTTGAAATGAGTCCATACACTTTAAAAATTTACATTTCTTATCTTAGTGAGAGTCAAGTGAAGAGATGTCTGGGGATGAAGCATATCATCTTCTATCTTACTGGGAATAACACTGATTTCATTCCTTAGGCAAACTGCATGAAAAAACTATGCTTGCTTCCTCTACTTCCTCTCTTCTCATTCATTTCTGAACCCTTTATAATCCGGCTTCCAATCACATCACCAAATTACAAATTCTTTCTCCATTGTTAATAATGATCATAGTTAATAATTGTCAAATCTGATATTTTTTTCTCAGACCTCATCCTTCTCAACCTATCTCCTGCATTTGACACCGCTAATCACTGCTCTTGAATATTATCTTCTCTCTGGGTATTTGTGAACACTATTCTCTCATGGTTTGCCTCCTTCCTGTTTGACTGCTCCTTCTCAGTATTCCTGGTTCACTTGTCATTCATATCACATCTCCTAACTGTGGGTATTCCCCGGAGTTCTGACTTAGGCCGTCTTGTCTTTTCCCTCTATATTCTCTTGATAACCTTATCAGCTCCTGTAGGTTTAATTATAATCTCTATGCAGATAGAACCCAGATCCATATATCCCCTGAGGTTTAACCTTGCATCACCAATTTTTTATTGGACATTTCCAACTGCACATTCTGGAGACATCTTAAACTCAATATGGACAAAACTGAACTCATTATATTTCCCCCCCTCCCCCAAACCTTCTCTTCTCCTAAACTTCCCTGTTTCTGCAGAAGGCAACACCATCCTGGTAGTGTCCCAGGTTCATAAACTTAGCATTATATTAGAATCCTCACTCTCACCCCACATGTTCAGTCAGTAAGCAAAGCTTTCTTTTTCTCCCTTCATATCTCTCATATCTGACACTTTCTCTCTACTTACAGAGTCACTACTTTAGTTTAGGTCCTTATCAACTCTCACCTAGATTATTGTGACAGTCTCCTAGTTGATTTCCCTGCCTCAAGTCTCTTTCCACTCCAATCTAGCCTACATACTTCCAAAGTAATTTTCCTAAAGCACAGATCTAAACATATGACTCTCCTACTTAATCAACTTTAGTGGCTTCCTAATGCCTCTAGGATAAAATGTAAACTCTTCTGTTTAGTTTTAAAGTCCTGCACAACCTGGCTCCAATCTATCTTTCCAACCTCATTGGACATTCATTACTCCCCCTCCTGCACTCTGCAGTCCAATAGGACCTCCTTTTTTTTCCTCACACAGAAACACTCTATCACCCATCTCTGTGCCTTTTTACCAGCTGTCCCTCATGCCTGGAATATACTCCCTCTCTCCTTACCATCACCTCATTGAATTCTCTTTATTTCAGATGCATTTCAAGTACCATTTTCTCCATGAAATCTTTCCTAATTCCCTCAACTGCTAGTGTCTTCCCTCCCAAATTTACATTGAACAACTTCATATATGTTTGCATTTATTTATTTTACATTTATGCCATATGTATTTTTATATGTATTTATTTTTTCTTCCATTAGAATATAAACTCCTAGTAAGTAGGGATTTTGTTATTCTTTGCATTAATATCACTAGTGCTTAGTACAATGTCTGGCACATAGTAGGCACTTTGTAAAAAAAAAAAGCACTTGTTGATCTTTTCCTTGAGTTTTGTTCAAGATTTTCACCTGCTTTTGTTATGTGATGAATTGTGAAGCTTCTGTCAGAAATGGAGATGCAAAATTACACTGAGCTTTCTCTGCAAAACGTGGCAACAACTAGTCTAGATCATGCCAACTGAGGTTATGGTAAAGGAGTTTCCACTGAAGCAATCATTACTATTGGAAGAGCGTGGAGGGAGAGGTTCCCTCCAAAAAAAATCCTTCCTGTCTAAGAAGGGAATGCACTAATTTGCTCAGCTGATGAAATCTTGTCCCAGTGGTCTTCTCTATGATAAAGGTAGCTATAATTTTAGCTATCCAACACCCTATAGAACTTTGACACACACACAGATGATTAGTCCAATGTTTAAGCACTGAAGGATGCCCCCATGACACTTTCTGAGTAGGGTACATTTTTAGTTCTATGTCACACTGCCAATGGTTTCAGTAGGGTTATTCGTTCTTGTCACAGAAGAAGACTTCTCTGATGCTTGGACCTTACCTGTACCATTCTCTCAAACATGTGTGCTAAAGGCAAATAGGAAATGTGTACATCCTCACAAGTGGGTGACCACTGACTCTGTAAGAAAAGAAAAGGAGCCCGAACCAGGCCCAGTCAGTCAGACAGGTGTCTTACCTGTATAACTCTTTCAAACATGTGAGCCAGAGGCAGGAAGGAGATGAGCACATCGTCCTGTCTCGGAAAGATCACTTTCTGCAGGTGAAGGGCATGGGAGACAGAAAGGAAAGAAACACTGACAGGAAGACAACAAGAAAGTCATAAAACAATAAAGAGAAAAATGGTACTAGAGGAGCAAACAGTAAAGATTAGAGGGAAAGAAAAGGAAGAGACGAGGGAGGGGGAGCAAGAGAAAGGGAAGCAGGAATGAGAAGGGAAATAGAGGATGATATGGGGCAAGAGAGGAGAAAAAGAAGAGACAGAAAAAGCACAGAAAGAGGAGAGGAAAGAGGAGAGAAAGAAGATAGGATGAGTGAGAGAACAGAAAGAGACAAAGAGGAGAAGTGAAAGGAGTAGAGAGGAGAAAGAAAATAAATGGATAAAGGGCTTGAAAAGCAGAAAAGAGTAAGGAAGACTAAGGAAGAAGGGGAGAAAGAGAGAAGACATAGGAGGGAGGAAAGAAAGAAAGACACAGTGAAAGAAAAAGAAAGAAACAGAAAGAGAGCAGTATAGGAAGCGAACTGTTAGGTCACAATGTCAATGACTTCAGGTTATTGGGAGCAGCAAAGAGCAAATTGAAGCACATATAAACCAGTGGAGCAGAGTCCCCACCGAAAAAAGCACTGCTTTTACAAAGAAATCTGCATCTTACACTGTGCATAAGAGCACTAGGCAAAAATCGCTTTTTTTTTTTAGCATGAAATCTTTGCAGATTTGATGCCTGAAATCTTCCCCACCCTCTTTATAAGTAATTTACACCAAAAGATGCAGGATTCTTTTTCTATCTTCAGTTTTGTCACTAAACATTTTGGAAAGGAGAGTAATTTTTCCCTTTTTCCCTCTGAGCACTTTTTTATTTCTGCCCTGAGAGAATATGCGACAGAAGAAATTGCTATGGGAACAGACCCAAGATCTCCTTGACCTTCGTAATGGGGCATAGATGGAGTTGCCTAAAATGTGCACCCAAGTAGACGATAAGGGACAAAATGTTCCTTGGCTACAGTGCCAGCCAAGTCCTCAGGACCACTTACTTACTGTCTGAGGACAATTATGTTTAGTCTCAAAGCCTTTCCCCCCAGGTTTAGGAGCTGTATTCAACACCCTTGTCACAGTTACAGTTTGGGAGAGTATAGAGAAAGGAAAAGAAGCCAATGAGTTGTCTTCCACATGTTGGCTTCAGTGAATATCCCTCTCTTATGGAAATGGATACATTTCCATACAGACACTAAAAAAAGCAGAGCAACTTTACAGAGAGAGTTAATGTGACCTCCTATGAGATAATATTAGAGAGGGAGTGGCTAACTTATAGCTAAGGGTTTTTACTACATTGTATGGAAAGATAATAGTTTTTTGGTTTTGTCACATAGACTGCCTTATTCCAATATGATACTATCTGTAGGAAGCTTTGGGCCTATATTATAATTCAAGATATTTATACAAAATAAATGCTTATGTCATAGAGATCAGGCTTTTATGGAATTGAAAATATGTGCATTTATTTTAAAAAGTTATCTGTTAGAAAAAAATATACCTTCTATATAATCCATGAGTATCGTATTTTTGGGAACCTTTTACCCTAGTCCTGCTTCTAAGATGGGCACACCTTTTGTGTGTGTTTTGGAAGATATAGCTTGCAGATAATTGCCTTCAAAAGCTGTCATTTCACAGACTCTTTCCTTTTTCTATGGTCTCCTTTTCTGTTCTGGTTTTTTGGCCAAATTTGAATGGAGTTTGAGATGGGTCGGATTTGATTCAGTCTATTAAACATTTAACAAACACATGCCGTGAGTAAGGTTTAACTTCTCTGGGACTCAGGCAAGTCCCTAAGAAAGAGGTATGATCTGAGTTGGAGGCTATTTCCATACTGAGGAAATTCCATATATACTATGTGTTGTATTACCTGCAGGAAATGCTTAGCTTTGGCTACTGATCGAGAGCTCACTTATAGTTCTCTACTTATTCCTTTTTGCCAAAGGCCTTTTCCACAACCTTTGAACTGTTATTAGGCACAAATATGTAGAGTAACTTTCCCTAGGGAAAAAGAGTTCATAATCCCTTTCTCTTCAGGACAAGATTTATTATTTCTTGCACATAAGGAATAAAGCATTAAAAAAAAAGTTTTGAAAGCTATTTCTTTAGGACAAAAAACATTACTAGTTTAATTTAGGATTTACTTTTAAAATTCCATCACAAAGTAATAGTATCCACAGTTTCTTACTTAAAAGGAGTGGTCAAAACAGAATTTTGAAATTATTATTAGAAATGCAAGAGTGACAATGGATGCTCTAGAAACTGCATATATATTCACAGTTATGAATTTGATTTGTACACAGTCACACTAAGCAATATATATGAAACAGGTGGGAAATGATTTTTTGGTTTTGTTGAAATAACTCCTGGGGTTTATGTGCTTGGAGATCATTGGGTGTTCCCTGTTAAGGCAGAATAAATTACATATTTGGGCTTTTACAATTCCGCTGATGGCCGAGGTGGTTTTCCTTAAATAAGGACCAAAGCACCAGGCTCACATATGATATCCAGGATTGCAAAATGAAAAGAAACCTGAAAATTCAAGATGTCCTGGATGGGCTCTTTGACCACACTAGTGATACTGCCATATTCACCTCTGTGACTTTCAGAAAGCCTGAAAAATCAGCAACCACATTCCCATGGGTGAGCATTGCACCTTTCGGGTTCCCTGAGAAGAAAAAGAAAAGGCCATGTTAATAGGGAATCACAGGACTCCTCCCTTAGAGCCACTACACTTTGTAGAAGAACTGTCATACTGTTAGGAAAAGATGGAACAGCAAGCTTCAATCCCATTCTTTCAAAATCACAAAAAGCTGGGCAGCTTGTTCCACATGCTTAGAGAGCAAGAGCACCTATCCTATCCACCAAGCCTATCCACCATTGACTTAAAGACCACTAAGAAGATCAAAAGGTTTTCTAGGTACTAAGAACTACATGAAATGAATGTTGTCCGTACCCTGTGATGGGGGTGAACAGCGAGGAAATGGAAGCCTGCAAAGACATTACAGGCTCAGCAAAGAACCACAGGGTGACTCTCCACAGTTCAAGAACCACAGAGTTTTAGATCTGCTGAAGGCTTTGTTTGTTCCTATTTCCATCTTCTCTGGATGATGCTTCTGAGAGACAGGACATGGATGTGGCTGCCTCAGCACAGTTTATAGAGCAGGTCCTGTAATGACCATGATTGGACCAGACGAGATACAGGGATTTTCCCTTCAAAGAAGGAGTTAGGCATCTGAAGGTGCAGATCAGATGAAATGGTTGCTAACAGGCTTTCTTTACCCAAAGCCTGGTCCTGTAGGAAAGAAGCCTGCCTGGAGGTGATCAGGGGAAATGGATTCTGTAGGATAAGCAAAGTGCCTTCTTGAGTTTTACGGAACTTTACAATTTTAGTATATCTGATGTTCCTAATGCTGTTCTTTCTAAAGAAAGGCATGGTGTAATGAGCATTGTACTTGGAACCAAAAGACTTGATAATCTAGAAAGTGCTACATGGATGAGCTGTAGTTATTTTCATTGCAGGTATCATGAGGCATCAGTAGACATACCTCTGCCCCACACATCAAGTACAACATGTCACCTGGAGATGTTTAAGACAGTCAAGTCATCTTAGAGTATTCAGACATGTGTGGACAGCACTGAGTTAAATCCCATCCAAACTTACACTGCAGTCAAGATTTAGTGGCATCCACCCAGCAAACTGTAAACCACAGAATATAGAATGTGGTATTTCTGACTCAATTTGGGCAATATTCTTTTTACTCCTCCTTGCTATGAAAATCACAGGTTTCAACACAAAATAGGCTCAATAGACCATGGCATTTGGGAAAACATTAGGGACACTGGGGTCATTAGTATAATACAGAGGATAAGTACTCTCTGAGTTGCAAAGAGATTGTATAAAAATGATCATACAGAAAGTGTATATGGTCAAAAAAAAAAAAAAAGGAGCTGGGTTCGTCATGGAGTGTGAGATTCCAGATGGTCAGCTTAATGGCTGCACTGATACTCCCACTTTACCTTAAAATACTTAAGAGAAACGACTTCAGCACATTGGATAGATCCCTGTGGAGGATTTCTTTGGAGAGGTGAAGGGAAACAGTGAATGGCATAGAATGGCATAGAATGAGTCAGTTGTGATCTGTACCATAGTAGGGACTTAGTACTTCATTAGATGCACTCAATACGAATATCAATATCCCTATCAATATATATAAAAGAAAATACTGAAATGTTGAGTGTTCCCTGAGCCTCATCTATGTCCTCACCTGTAAAGTCAGGATAATAGTACTTATCCTATCTACCTTGCTAGGTGTTCAGAAGAAAGTTCTTTGTAAACCTTAAAGCACTATAGAAACACGAGTAATATTATTATTCCTCCACTTCGGTCCCACTCTGGTACCTCACCTCACTGTGGCACTGAAAACAAAAGCTATATCTCCCTACAGAGTACAAACTTTGGCAGGTACCACTTCAAAATGAAAAGGCTCTGAGGAGGGATTATATTCTGAGTCATTTATACTTCTTGCCTGGCTTAGCTAACTTCTGCCATTTGCTCTTAGTTCTGTCCTCCACACTCAAAGAGAATAAGTCTAATTCCCATTCATAGTTATTCTTCAGGAACAGTGAGAATGCAATAGTTTCAAAAGCCAAGAGACACGTGGAAAGAGCGTGCTTTCCACCTAACAAATGAAATCCACCGAAAGTCCCAGTGTGTCACTAAGGAAGTTCTAGACAGAAGGACAAAAGAGGTACAGAGTCACTGACCTGAGCCATCACTTCATACACCATGTTATATGATGGTCATTTAGCCACATAATTCCCTACAATTAATGGTTACTGTCTATGGTATTACCTTTGAATTTAAGGGACAAGTTTCAACTGTGGATATGTGGTACCTAGAACTTTAAGTGGTTAAGCAAATTGTGGCACATGACTATAATACAACATAACTGTGTTAAAAGAAATAATGAATGTGATGAATACAGAGAAGCATGAACAGATCTATATGAACTGATGCAGAGCAAAATAAGCAGAGCCATGACAACAATATACACAGTGGCTATAGCAATGTAAACTGAAAGAACAACCATACACACATAATCAAAAGTGAATGTTGCAAAATAATAAACCACAAGTATGGCTTGAAAGAAGAGACAGAGAAACTTCAAACTCATCCCTTTGCAGAGGCAGGAGTTTCACATTACACATATTTTCAGACTTTTTTGATGTATTGACCAATTATGCTGATTTTTTCCTTTTCTTTTTTCTTGAAATTACTGTTTGTTTTATGGGATAGCACTCTGGAGGAGATGGGGAAAGGACACAAATTTGCTAAAAAAAAAAATTAAAAAAAATCTTTAATGTGTACTCTAGGCACATACATCAGTTATTTGAACCACAATAGTAAATGTCTGATGACATGGTACATCACAATTTTCAATATTACAATATTTTATGAATCACTCCCATTATGCAAAAATTCCCTTTTAAGAAGGAATTATATGCATGTCACATATTTCAACTCTGTGTCAAGGAGAGATAAGACTGACCTTTCTTTACAAACAACTTTTCAAAGATCTGAGCTAAATAAGATATGTTTTCAGAAATTTGCTTATAAAAAGTCTTTGACTGGAAGTTTCCCCAGCTGAGTGTATGGCCAAATGCTTTCTGCATGTTACTTTTTATTCATGGTTGTTGGAGCTGAACATTCTGGAAATTTTCAAAGAACTCATACAAAATTCTAGGGTGGAACATGGGCTTTTGTGAAAAGGGGATCTTCTGGAACATTGAGCTTAAAATCTTGCTGGATTCCTGACAAGAAAATCTTAAGGAGGGGGACTGTATATCATCCTCAACAGAAATTTGACAACCACATCTTGAAGCACTGAGTCATCCTGCTAATTCCACAACAAAATGGTGATTGTTGCATTCATCCAGTTAAGACTAATTCAGGGTGTTTTCTTCTATAATGTTGCTTCACTACATTTCTTTAAGTAGATAGGCAGACTCTCCACCAATTATTTATTAGGGGGAAAAGATCAATGGTCATGGTACTTTAAAATCTATATGAAAATGATGTTTTATCTCTTCTTTGTCATCTTCAATATCTTCTGATATTTTCTAGTTTAATACCAATGAGTCATGTGAAGAAATCAGGTAAAATTCTTTCTTTTAAGGGATGGCTCTTGGGGTGGGGGTGGAGTGATGAGGAGAGATGCAAGGTGGTGTTTTTTTTAAAGATTTTTAGGTTCTATAAAAACCTATATATCAATGTAACCATATTTTTAAAAAATCAGATTAATAATAATTTCAGAGAGTATCAAACTGCTTGTTCTCCACATGTGATTCATAAACAGGAATTTACCAAGTTGTCTTCATTATCTTTCTTCTTTAGTAAACATCCTGTCATCTTTTCAGAACCTGCAAATGACTTCTGCATCTTATCTAGCATTCATAGTAGCCCCCTCCACCACTCTGCAGGAGAACAACATTTTGTGGAGCAGCTGACATATATGTGGCATTTCCTTTTCTGGAACATGACCCAGTCTTCAGGACTTGGCTAGAACAAGATCATACAGATCAAGACTACACAGAAGAACTGCATTCCCATGAAGCCTCACAAAGTAGGAAATATCTGTTAATTTCTGGTGTGTTTTCTTTCATCTTCATCAGTCATTAGTTTCCCCCTGTTAACCACAAAAATCAGCAAGTTTATATCTTAGAAGGTATGTTTGCTATTTATAGGAGGTGAAATGGAAATTTTCCAAAATTTTTTGAGTCTCCTGGGTTCTCCCACTAAAAGTCCATAAATTGACTCTAAGTGATTTTCATTAAACTCCTCAACCTAAAATTGTGTCTTTAATTTAAAATACACACACCTTCAGAAATGGTAATTTGGTAGGTTATATATCATTTACTTCAACTCTGAATTGATCAGTTTTATATCAAAAAGGGAATCTCTACTTTGGGCAGGCTTAATTTTATGACAGAGACCAAATTAATTATGGCTGAAGTCTCTAGGGGGCGAGTTCTCTGCCCATCCAATCCTATTCTATGAAAAATATCCTGTTTATGACAGACCAGTGGTGTTTTGGGTCTAGATATATATACACATATGTACCCTCATATGGTGGATATGAATGTGCAGATCCATACTACTATACTTATCTGGGTAATTTAAACAAAAATCTGTGTAGCTGAGGCTCTATTGACTTGACCATAGATAAATGTGCATTTAGTTCTCTCTAATATTAGTAATAATAATAGCTAACATTTATATAGTACTATGTTCCAGGCATTGTGCTAAGTACTTTACCATTATTATTTTATTTGATCCTCACAAAAAATTTGGAAGGGTAGGTGCTATTATTAATCACCATTTTATAGATGAGGAAACGGAGGCAAACAGAGGTGAAGTGACTTGCCTAGTGTCACAAAGCTAGGCAATGTCTGAGGCTGCATTTGAACTTAGATCTTCCTGACTGCAGGTGCAGCACTCTATCCTCTATACCACCTAGCTACCCCATATTAAACACTAACAATGATATTAAGACTACTTTCTCTGCATTTTCACTCAAATAAGCCATTCTTGACCATATGAGATACCACAATAAGGCTGGTTGGCTTTAACGGGTGAGGCTGTGTTGTACATAGGAAAGAATACTG